CACTGCGTTCCAGGAACGTGTTTGGCTGCCAAAACGTGCACAAAAATATTCAAACAAATCACAGATACACCAATTAATCAATGTAAACTCGGGATACATGTTGCAAAATGCAGTTTTACAAGTTGTGTCTATGAGTTGCTTAAGTGTTTCTGCTGGTATCGGCTTGCAGCTGGCTCATGTACTTGTTTATATTTACATGGACGATGAACACATGGAAGCGCCAACAAACTGTCCTCTGTGCCTCTTCATAAAGGTTATATGAAACGCTACATCAGCTGCTCCTATTTTAATTAAACAGTCATGAAGCCACTGAGCAAAGTAGATTATATATATCAATATCATAATTATGGTATTAATACAGCATGTCAAATAATGTTATAACAGCACCATTAATATTTTCTTGTGCTTAACTACAGTGGTAGAAACTGAATTGAAAATGTCATGTCAACACTTGTCCATGTCATGTCAATAAGAGTGTCAGGAATATTTTCATTTGATAATGTTTCCTCAAGGTCAGACTATTCTTTTGAATATACTTTTGAAGAAGGGCAGAATAAAATGTCATAATAAAGATGAATAGGTGTTAGAGAAATAAAATAAATCCTTCAATAATAATAAGTAAAATTAAAATTATAAATTAGCATTTTATTGCATTGTTTCAACCTAATTTAATAAAGACAGTACAATGGTGGGTTAAGCCATATAGCGTTTTGTCCAAATCAGCTGCATAAACAGTTTTTACATTATTTTCATAATTTATAGTCATGCATACATAGGTTTGCAAGAGACACTATCAAAAAGTGTATTTATATTTCTCTATTTCCAACTTGTAATTTTTGTGAGTGTAAGCATCTGTCAATTTATTCATGATATTAATAATTTGTTTCATTCTTAGTACACATTTTATGCTTGATCACAAAACAATACAGATGTCCAGACCTCAGTGACCACATAGCTGGCAATAGGCCTATCACAAATGACCTGGAAATTATAATAACACACAAAAAAGAATAATCCAATGTGGTGTATCCTTAAAAGCAAAGAATGCCTCTAGAAAAATAAGATCGCACCGATAGGTTACAATGGACAGTTGCTCAAAAGTGCAATAAAATGTGCCAAATGCAATACAATACAAATTCATCAATTTGAATTATTAATAGTGATATTGGATTATTTATTTTATTTGTCTAACACCTATTCATCTTTTTATTAATATTTAAAACTGTCCATTTACTGACCATCTGTTGGAGGAAACTTAAAAAAAAAACTTTATAAAAAAAACTATTCATGACACAGTAAAACAAATATTTAACGGAGCATTGACAAATAATGATATTTTAATGAGAAATTAAATTTGTAGGTCAAAAAGAATATTATTGACTCACTTATAATGCCCCATGACATTTATGTTTATTACAGATTTATGACAAGTTACAGTGCGAAAAGTATTCAAAGTGCTTAACTTTTCCCATATTGTTTTACATGTATGTTACAGCCTTATTCCATTTTTCCATATTACACACAATACCCTATAAGGACAATGTGAAAAAAAGATTAAAAAAAAAAAAGATAGCGAATTTATAAAAAATAAAAAACCTGAAAAATCACATGTACATTCACAGCCTTTGCTTAATGCTTTGTTGATGCACCTTTGGCAACAATTACAGCCTCAAGTCTTTTAGAATATGATGCCAGAAACTTGGCACACCTGTCTTTGGGAATTTTTTCCCATTCCTCTTTGCAGTACCTCTCAAGGTCTATCAGGTTGAACGGGAAGCGACGGTGTACAGCCATTTTCAGATCTCTCCAGAGATGTTCAATAAGATTTAGGGTCTCGGCTCTGGCTGGGCCACTCAAGGACATTCACCGAGTTGTTGTGAAGCCACTCCATTGATTTTTTGGAGGTGTGCTTTGGGCCATTGTCCTGCTGGAGGATGAACCGTCGCCCCAGTCTGAGGTCAAGAGCACTCTGAAGCAGGTTTTCATTCAGGATGTCTCTGTACATTGTTGCATTCATCTTTCCCCCCACCATGCTTCACTGTAGGGATGGTCTTAGCCTGGTGATGAGCGGTGCCTGGTTTTCTCCAAATGTAACGCCTGGCATTCACTCCAAAGAGTTAAATTTTAGTCTCATCAGACCAGAGAATTTTGTTTCTTATGGTCTGAGAGTCCTTCAGATGCCTTTTGGCAAATTCCTGGCATGAAGTGGCTTCTGTCTGGCCACTCTATCATACAGGCCTGATTGGTGGATTGCTGAACAGATGGTTGTCCTTCTGTAAGTTTCTCCTCTCTCCACAGAAGAACTCTGGAGCTCAGACAGAGTGACCATCGGGTTATTGATCACTTTCCTGTCTAAGGCCCTTCTCTCCCGATCACTCAGCTTAGATGGCCGGCCAGCTCTAGGAAGAGTCCTGGCGGTTCCAAACATCTTCCATTTACGGATGATGGAGGCCACTGTGCTCATTGGAGCTTTCAGAGCAGCAGAAATGTTTCTGTAACATTGTCCTTGTGCCTGCACAATCCTGTCTCGGAGGTCTACAGACAATTCCTTTGTCTTCATGCTTGGTTTGTGCTTTGACATGCACTGTCAACTCTGGGATCTTATATAGACAGGTGTATGCCTTTTCAAATCATGTTTAATCAACTGAATTGACCACAGGTGAGCTGTGTATATACATAATATTAATATTATATATGTGAATATATATATACTGAACGTGATCTTTCAGGTTCTTTATCTTTTATAAATTTGTAACAATCTCAAAAAAATCTTTTTTCACAATATCATTATGGGGTATTGTGTGTAGAATGTTGAGGAAATAAATTAATTTAATCTATTTTTTAAATAAGGCTGTAACATAAAAATGTGGAAAAAGTGAAGCGCTATGAATACTGTATGTTGTCTTAGTGATGTCAATTTGTAATGACAAAAACAAAGACAGGTTGTGATTAAGCCTATTGTTTATGTCATAGCAAGGACATCTCAAATAAATGTCACATTTGCATTTAAAATGACATATTGATTAAAGGACACTTAATGACAGTTGTCATTGCATGCATAAAATCTTATAAACACACCTTCAAGTAAAGTCTTACCCAAGGGTGACTTGGGTTGATCTGTTGGAGTGAGGTATGCTAGACCATGGCTTTCCAAGAACCTCTTTCAGAAAATCTTTATATGTCTTCATATGTCATCATTACATGTTAACCCACATGTGATGTTGGCTATTTTTTAAATTGAAAACATGTCGAGATCCAATGTGATAAAGAACCGCATTTTTTATGTGTTCCACATTTAATTCACATGATATTTTAGCATGTGACACTCATGTGACATTCTTGTGGTAAAAGATATTTATATTGGCATTTACATATTGAATATATCTATATAATTGATACGTCTAAGCAAGATTTAGGTTTAGGAAAAAAATAAATAAAAATATACACCCCAAAGAGTTATAAACAAAAAGAGTTTAACCAGAAACTACTATAGCAAAGTGTACCTAATAAAGTGGTAACTGAGTGTATATAGATAAAAGTATGTGTATTTTTATAATTTGAATAAGTTTTACAATCCACATTAGTTGTTTTTTTATTTATATTGTCTTTAATTATGTTTTATTTATATTATTTTTTGATTATTAAAAAACAAAAACATTGTTAATTTCATTTAAGAACAACACTGATTTTGATTTTGTCTTTACCCTCAACGATCTACTCGTGTGTTATATATCATTTTGAAAATATATGTTGACAACTCATAATATTAACAACAAAATACAAATACTTTATTATACACATTTATTACCACCTTTTTATTAAAATATTCGATTTAAAAAAAGCAAATAAATAAATGCTTAACTACGTTTGTATTTTTTATAGATGATAAACTTTACCCTTGACAAGCACATACTGGTCTGGACATGTTTTAGCAAACATATGTGAGTGAGACGATTCTGCAACCAATATGACAACCATAACAACTATGTACAGCAGTGTCCACCTGCTATTTTGGAGGGGACAATAAGACTTTCAGTGTAGTATTGCTCAAGTTGATGTCGAATGGTTCCATGTGACTGTTTGTTTACAAATTCACTGTGCTAAAGTTGTGAAACACCCAGTCATGGGGGATGAGGGGCTTGAAGTGGAAAGTCTTATGTCTGTCTTTCCCTGCCCACACAAACCCACCTGACTGACATTTCTTCCAGAAAATACAGATGGATATTAATGGTAAATGTAAAAAAAAAAAAACTCTTTCTGTATTTTGTAGTTCACAAGCATTTTCTGTTTATTTAATTATCAACTCTACAGTTTAACAAAGTGACATTTATTGACATTTAACAGTTTGAAATACTATAATACTTAGGAAAGTCTATAAAATAACAGAAAATGTACAAGGGTTTTGTATTGTGATCTACCAACCCAGACAATATATTACTTTAAACTATTTAAATTGTTAATTAAAGTCGCTTTTCAATCTTTTAATTGTTGGACAAAAGATCAAGGTCGCATAATGCAATAAAAAGCATTAATAAATAGGGGAAATAATAATATTGTGATTGTAATAAAACATGAATGAGAAAATATGGAAACTGCTAATTTATGGATATTGTTTACAGTGTAGGAAACAATAATACTAAAGCTATTAAAGTTAAATAATGAATAATGTTGCAATTGACAGGACATGTTGTTGTGCAGTCGGGGACGTTCTGGATGTCTGGATGTCTACATGCCATCGACTATCACATGGCTCTTGTTTGGCCTGACTGTGTGATTTGCCTACACATTTCTCCCACAGATGGAGAGCTTAGAAAGGGAGGGGGTCTGTGTTGCTAAGTTTGGCATGTGACTTCTTTAGTGGCTTGTGTTGGAGGGCTGCATGTTTCTCCGAATCAAGCCGCACAAACAAGTGGTGGGAGCAATCCTGTCACAGCCGCCTCACAGATCAAGTGTCACAGGCGGCCGGCTGGTATATAAGACCCAAGTGCGCTCTGCACCGCCAGATCAAATAAACCTCAGTAAAGGAAGAAGCAAGCAGAAAGAGGCAAAGCAGTGAAGGTTATAAGGACTCTACCTCAGCAATGGACATCCAAACGGGTCAAATAGTTCGGGCTCCGAGTCCCATGGAGAGCCTGGAAAAGCAGTTGAGCTGTCCCATCTGCCTGGACATGTTCACAAAGCCTGTAGTCATTCTCCCGTGCCAACACAATCTCTGCCGCAGCTGCGCCAGTGAACTCTACGACTCCAAAAATCCCTACCACTTCTCTGGAGGTATCTTCCGATGCCCTACTTGTCGCTTCGAGGTGGTTCTGGACCGCCATGGTGTCTATGGCCTGCAGAGGAACCTTCTGGTGGAGAACATCATAGACATCTACAAGCAGCAGTTGGAGAAAGGAAGCAATGCCCTTGAACCCCCTTTGAAATCCAAAGAAACAAAAGAGCCCATGTGTGATGTTCACGAAGAGGAAAAGATCAACATCTACTGCGTAACCTGCCAGACACCCACTTGCTCCATGTGCAAGGTATTCGGTCAGCACAAAGACTGTGAAGTTTCCACTCTAAAATCTGTTTATGAGGTCCAGAAGTCTGAGCTTAAAAATTCAATTGATCTACTAGGCGCCAGCAACAGCTGTCTGCAGGCGATGTTATCGCAGATGGAGGAAACCTCCAAAACAGTGGAAGAAAACTGCCAGGCACAGAAGCAGAAGCTGGGGGAGAAATTTGACCATCTCTACGCCGTCCTAGAAGACCGTAAGACGCATCTTCTGGAGCAGATCACCCAGGAGCAGGATGAGAAGGTGGCTGTGATCAGATCTCTAGTCCAGCAGTACAATGAGCAGCTGCAGGCCAGCATTAAACTGATGGACAAAGCTTCTCAGACGATGGACAACAACAATACAGCGGAGTTCCTCATTGCTGCTAAACAGCTCCTCATCGAAGCCAAAGATGCAACCAAGAACTCTCATCTACAGAGGCCAGAGCCTGGCTTTGAGAGTATGGACCACTTCACGATTGACACTGAAGATGTAGAGGCCGTACTAACAAAAATGGACTTTGGAGTTGGTGGTATTGATAATGATGATGATGAGGAGGAGGAAGAAGAAGAGGAGGAGGAATAAGCAATGAGAGACTCTAAAGACTTTGTTGACAGTATTGATGAAAAGGACGATATTCTAGCTGATTTTGATAACTGTGAGGCAAGGGGCGTGCAATCTTTTTGCAACTAATTGCACCATTTGTACCATTTGTGTCTTTTCCACTTGAATTTTGTACTTTTTTAATAATATGAATGTTCATATTGAATTGTTTTTTTTATATTTTAATAGAACGGTAGAACATGATGTTTTGTTTGCTAGATAAAAGCTAGACGTATAAGCTGTAGAATACAGCTTTACCAGGTTTAGAGTGTCATGTGAGACCCAAATGTTTGAATACTTGAAAATTGCACTTGCACTTGACTGTAATGCAATGCTCATTTTCATTGGATAATTCAGTGGAAATAAAGGACTTACAAAAAAATACTGATTTGAATTTCTCCCTTATTTGCAAAGATGTACACACCTTCACATAACCTTAAAAAAATTCTTAACATTTGACTGCTTTAAACCGAGTGGCTATATCTGCATTCTCTCCTTGAGAGGCATTGCGCTACACAGTTGAAGTGGGTGGTTATTTTAGCCGGGTGAGAATGAGTGAAGCCACCGAACTCCAGGAATAGACTCACAGTGTGCAGGCCTCATGTTTCCAACCCTGACAATTACAGCTGCTGGCAGGCATTTCTGACAAAGCTATGGGTTAGAGGTTAGCACTGATTCTGCCATCCACTGCAGACACAGTTGCTATGATTCTAAACAAACCCTGACTGTGGAGATATTTACAGTCAAGGCCAAAATTATTCTTACTATAAAGAATAAAAGACTTAAAGTTACTTTTATTTAACTAGCAATTATTAATTTTTTTTTTTTTACTGAAAATGAGACCCAAAATTATAAGACGACGTACATCATTATGGGAAAATATATAATGTATAATAATCAGGTTATTAAAAAAAGCTAAATAATAAAATAATAACAGCAATTTCAACACTGTTAACATACAAAAGCATAACTACTTACTTCTCCACCTGTTTCAACACACTCATCCACCAAGGATTAAGACATTAAACTGTTTAGCAAATGTTTTTTTTTAAATAACTGTGAGATCAATATAGAAAGAGATCACAAAACCATTCCTAAAAGGAATATTTTATGCTATTATTTAACTAAATATGTTTACCTTTGAATATTTATGACTTTAAATGTTTTTTTTATTTATAAATATTAAATAATATATTATAATTTTTTTGTTTTATCCATGAATTTACTGGGCAGTTATTTACTCGCAGGCCCTAATTAAATGTTTGTTGATTGATTTCTTATTTGCCTAATAAAAACAACAACACTTTTATACTATATATTAAACACAAAAACACAATTATTCAAAAAATTTTGGGGTCTGGGGTCTTTTAATGAAGTATGACCCACATTTCTTCCACTTAGACAGACTAATTGTAACTATGAACCCAGTGCCCTATGCATGGGCAAGTACAAACATGCAGTACAGAGTGGGCAATTGGCATTAAAATCTATACATTTAAGACAAATCTATACATTTAATTTATTTAGAAAACCCATTTTTAAAAATAGAAACAACAAAACAGCAAAGAATCCATTTAAGAGAAAAACTAAATTTTAAACCAAAGAATATAACAGCTGTTTATAGGTGACCTGTTGATTTAAAGGTATGTTGGCCTCAGCTGCCATGAATAGTATTGTGCATGTCTGTCATGTATATTTATCCGTTAAGTCTGAGGCTCAGCTTTCATGTTTTCTAACATGCTGGAGGCAACGCGGGCACGAGATGAAGTTTGTGCATGTGCATGTCACGACTATCTTCTCAGCCCAATAACACAAATTTAAAATCTTTTTTTCCAAATTTTGCCATAAAACCAATATTAAGTCTATATTTGTATATTTAAAAATCACCATAAGCCACAGAATTAACGTAATTAAATCTGTCTAAAAGGCATCTCTAAATCTATTTCTGGACAGCCACTGTCCAGCAGCGTTCCATCCCTAATTAAACAGAACTGACTCAGCTAATCGACATTTGCATTATCATTACACTGGAAAAAAGACTTTGAATTAACTTACTGTACAGTAATTTGTTACAGCAATTATTTTTTTCTTAAAAAACTTTGGGTTAAACTATACAATTTAAGTTTCAGCAAAGATAAAGTACTGTTTTTACAGATTATGAATTATTTTAATTACTTTTTGTTTGGCTTAAAAAAATTACTTTGGACCACTATATAAACATAATAAATACATATAATGTGGGCTATTTTTATTTATTTTTTTGCTTTTTTTTTTTTTAATAATGGGGTAAACTTTCTGCGGGTGCTTTCAGTATGGCTATAAATGCCATGCAAAATGGTATTTAAACTCACATTAGAAATGAATGAAAATTTAAAGCACATAAACATGACCTATTTAATGTTGTCACATAAAACTGCTGCTTTAAAGTATTAACATGCATAAATATATAAATAAAATATCTTGATAAGAATGTTTTTAGGTTTATCTAAGGGGTTCATTTTCAATTTATTTTATTTATTTATTTATTTATTTATTTTTGCTTTGGCCAAATTGAATTAAACAGATTTTACTCATAAACAATCATTTTTCACTTCACCCAATATAAAATGACTACTTTGAGTCAAAGACACATTAGTTTCACCTTTTTTTTTTCAGTGTAGAAACTTTGAAGTAACTGCGTTGAATTTGGTAGGAGCAAAACTGTGCAGGACGTTGACCCTTCATAAACAAGAATTAACAATTCTGGTCTAAATAATACCTCAGCATAAAACAATGGTTGAAACTTTTCAGTATCCACAGAACCAGAAAAGATCCAGTTGGTGCAACAGTAAAGTCACTGAAAGCTCAGCAATGTTTCCCTAAATAAGAGCAGGAGTTCCCCTAGCCAAGTCCCAATGCCAGGCCTGAAAACACAATCTAATTTTAGAGTAATGACTAACCCTGGCCATAGTCTAGACCCAATGCACTAAAGGGCACCATCCCATTCAGCCTCCTAACCTACAAAATAAATTATTTTAAAATGTATTATTATTATTATTATCTGGGTGCAATACAGCTGTGGATCTTTTTTGCTGATCAGTAAGGCTACTGCTGGAGTATGGATACAGTGTTGTTCAGCTAAAAAAAATAGCAGGATAGAAGTGCTGTGTCATTTTGCAGGCAGTGAGGCACGAAACAGTGTTGAGGTATTGCAGAGTGCACATCTAAGACTGTGTTGTAAAACTATCCCAGATTCATTTTTAGCCGCCACAGACATTGCCTGTAGATGGGCGTACAGTAAATAGAAACTCACTCTGTCACCTTAGCTTCTGCCTCATGGGCTCTACTGTAAGACACAGCAACAGTTGCATACATGTAGAATTGCTCATTATTTAACAAAAATCCAAGAAGGCACATTGCAATAATAATGTTTGCATTGATTTTTATTGATCTTGACTGGTGACGATCTTTAATAGATTTCTAAATTAGAGCAATGCATATGTGTGATGTAGAATTTTGGGTAAACTTGGTGTCTGTCTCTACATTCTGGTCAACTCTGTTGCATCAGTTATGGAACAGTTAGGTATAACGATCTCTAAAGAGCCCGTATTATACAGGGTGGGCTATTCATGTGGATACACCTTAATAAAATGGTAATGGTTGGTAATATTAACGTCCTGTTTGTAGCACATTAGTATATTTGAGGGGGCTTGTAAATAACTCATGAAAGAATGAAGTTACGTTTAAAACCAAGGATTGTTTTTCTTGTAAAATTCCCAATACGTTTATTAAGGTGTCACTATATAAATGGCCCACCCTATACATTAAAAACGGTCATATTTTGGTTTTAAGGGTCTCCAACAACAGGCTGATGTCCATGCACGGTCAAAAAACACTGTATAATGTGCATTTATTTTACCTAATTATCCCAGCGACTCCCATATGTATCGTTTAGTGATTCATTTGTTCCCAAACTCCTCCTTAGCGCAAAGGTAATCTGGACTGACTGGACCAATGACCGATGCGATTGGTTGACAGCATTCAGCGCAAGACAGAGTGAAATGCCCAGTACATGATATCAACAATAATGAAGTAGTCAAAGTGCATAGTCTATGAGTGAGCATACCTGACAACACTCCTGTTTTTCCCCGGAGTCTCCCGCATATCAGACCCATCTCCCGCCACCCACCCATTTTGTTATTTATCCCGGAAAACTCCTATAATTTCAACCACATTTTGGTACAGCCTGTGAAACCCTCCGGTCGACAACATCGGTATAGGATCCGATCGCAGTGGCCGCCCAAAATATGCTTAATAGTAGTTACTAACACCACAGTACACAGTACCCGGTTCTCAACAGTGTTATTCAGACATACGGCAAACGGCAGTTGAATGCGAGCTCACAAACGCATTTAAATCCGCAAACAAAGCGAGAGGGGTCTGGCTGCAGACTCGGTGCAGTGCAATCTTATTTTTAATGCGCTCACCTAACCCCACCCATAACCCTACCCATCACAGTGACGTCACTCGCTCCATTGAGTGCATTGAGTCTGACATTGCATCGCTGAGTGATGCAATCTCAGCTTGCATCATCAAGGCTGCATCCAGATACTATTGAACAAAGCAGCACTTGTAAAATGAAGGAAGAAACTGATCCATGATCCACTGATCCATGTACTGACATAGTCCCTTACATTAGAGGTCTGCATTCCCGCGGCTGTCCCGCGGGCGCCGCAGGACCCGACCAGATTTCTGCGGCGCGAGAATAAATTTCCGGGAGCGGTCGGTAACGGGTTTAATTTGGGACGGGAGCAGGCTGTCTAGCAATATCGCGGATATTGCTATTCGAATGAGAGAGAGAGAGAGAGAGCTTTGCCTGTGTGTGTGCTTGGTGCTTGTGTGTGTGTATGTTAGTGAGAGAGAGAGAGTGCTTTCCTAGATAGCAAAATAAACTCGGGCCAGTTCCGGTTAGATTCTCGCCTGCCGGAGACTCGGACTCGGGCCGGATGCTTGTGGACTCACTGCCCGATTCCGAGAGGTAATGTGTGCTGCGGCCCGAAGCTGGCACGACTTAGTATTTATATACCTTTATATAAAACCTTTTGGTATTACATTGGAACTTGATACATGGTATCACAAGACTTTGAGTTGATATAACAGCAAACGCCTGTGTGTCTGCTTGGTGCTTGTGTGTGTGTTAGTGCGCGTGCGCGCGCGTATGAGAGAGAGAGCTTTGTCTGTGTGTGTGTGCTTGGTGCTGTGTATGTGTTTATACAGACAGCTTGGCTGTCTGGACTGTAAAGCTGGGTGATTTTCGGTTTTGTTCTCTCCCGCTCTTTAGCGGGATCGGGCGCGGCGGGCAGAAAACGGGGCGGGTCGGGCAGTAGGACAACAAATTCTTAATATAAGCGGGAGCGGTCGGGTTCGGGCTAAAACCTGGCGGGTGCGCGCGGGAGCGGGATTCAAAATTTAGTTCCGCGCAGATTTCTACCTTACATCAATAGTCTTTTCGATCCTTCCTTTAACAAATTGCCGATGAATGCCTGTTGTAAGCATGTAGATTCCAGGATCACTCAAACAGCACAAGGCTGTGCTATAATGCTGAGGTATTTTTGCAAAAAAAATCTCAACCACTGACTTTTCACAGTTTAATCTTTGGGTAGAGAAAATAACACTAACTTTCCCTCACACTTTCAATAATATCCAGCTGAGCACAGCGTGACTTGATTCAACAAGGATCTGCTGCAGTGCTTGTCTTCCTCTTTTTCTTTGCTTTGTTTGTGGACAGGGCCACAGGTTTTAATTTTCCTAGGTTTGCACTCGCAGCAAATAGCCGGGGCTTATGTTTCAGGTTGATGTCACGCCTAAACGGCTAAAGACTCGTTATCAAGACTATTTATTTGAAGCACTGTGAGTCTACTCTTTTATAGATGAATCAATACTTTTAAACACTGTGCAATTTCAGATTTAAGCCTTAGCTGGATATTTCACTTCACTTACCCCTGGTTTCACAAACAAGGTTTAAGGCTAGTCAAGATTAAATTGCATGTTTGAGCTGTCTCAACTCAAAATAACTTGTGGTGAGATGTCTTAAAATATGTCAGTGTCATTTTGTCCCCAGGTGCACATCAGTAATATTTTTCTAAGGCCATTTTTAAAAATGTGTCTTGATTAGCCTTATTTAACGAAGGCCTAGTCCTGGCTTAATCTAAGCCCTGTTTGTGAAACTGGGCCTTAGAGTGTTACACACTACATGGAAGGTCATTCTCAAAAATCCTTAATAGGGGCTCTTTAAAGCACTGATAGAAAAATGTGACCTCTGGAGTGAACACTGGAGAGCATTGAGGCATGTAATTTATTCTTCATTCATTAATTTATACAATTAGTTTCAGATACACCAATAATCAATTCGTTATTTGGCTACTGTTATAGTGATATTTCAGTGAATTTCTACTTCACTTTTTTAGACATGCTATGTGGTATCTTGTTAGAGGTTAGCATATTGAGCGAACGTACAAAACAGGTGGATAATGTGGATAATATAAACAGAGCCAAATGTTCCCTATCACATTAATATTGGATTAGGTTTAAATGATATTTGTTGATTGTCAATATATTAGATGTCATTGATGTCATATTATTGATGTCAGTGTTTACAGTATTAGATTATGCAAGTAATTGTTATCTGATAAATTATTTATTGTTTATTCATTTTTTTCTGGGGTGACATGCTGTCGCCTCATAGAAAGAAGGTTGCTGGTTCGAGCCCAGGCTGGGTCAGTTGGTGTTTCTGTGTGAAGATTGCAATTGTAGGTGATTTGGGTAAGTTAAATTGTCCGTACACTCTCAGAAATAAAGGTATGCAAGCTGTCACTGGGGTGGTACCTTTTGAAAAGATACAAATTTGTACCTAAAAGGTCCATATTAATATCTCAAGGGGACATATCAGTATCTAAAAAGTACAAAAATGTTCCTCTTAAAATTTTAAGATACTAATATATACTTTTAAGGTACCCTTCAAGTACAAATTTGTACCTTTTCAGAAGGTACCACCATAGTAACAGCTACCTTTATTTCTAAGAGTGTAGTGTATGTGTGTATGTCCTGATCCTCCAGGTTGGGGGTTGAGCGTTGGGCTAACAACCCACCTCCTGAAAAAACTAGATGTTCCAAAACACCAATATTTTGCAGCTAAATATCAACTTCGATGTGGGAGTAAGTAAGTAAGTAAGTAATTTATTTCTGACATATGCTTTATACATTGAGCACAATTACTTTTTTCTTGGAAAAAACACAGGAGACATTTCAGGCACACCAACATTAAGGTGAAAGCAAGAACAGCGTAAAGAGCCAAGTGAGCTTCAGTAGAAGAACTTAAAGGGGTGGTTCACTACAATATTATATATTAAACTTATTGTATAATATATTAATGTTTAATGTAGCTGTGTAATACATTAATGTGTAATGTAGCTGTGTGAACATAAAAAAATCTCTGAATGTAAGATGCTCAAAGTTCACTGCAAAGGGAGACCTTAGATTTGACATTGTTAGCTTAGCAAAGCCTTCAGCATATGGATTTGGAGGCTACAAAAAACCCCCAAAACATACATATATATATATATATATATATATATATATATATATATATATATATATATATATATATATATATTTGTTATATATTTGTATGTTTTGGGTATATGTTTTGGGTTTTTTTTGTAGCCTCCAAATCCATATGTTGTTGTGCCTGAAATGTCTCCTGTGTTTTTTCCAAGAAAAAAGTAATTGTGCCCAATGTATATAGCATATGTCAGAAATAAATTACTTACTTACTTACTCCCACATCGAAGTTGATATTTAGCTGCAAAATATTGGTGTTTTGTAACATCTAGTTTTTTTTAGGAGGTGGGTTGTTAGCCCAACGCTCAACCCCCAACCTGGAGGATCAGGACATACACACATACACTACACTCTTAGAAATAAAGGTAGCTGTTACTACGGTGGTACCTTTTGAAAAGGTACAAATTTGTATAATTAAAGTTTTCAAAAAAATGCTATTTCCCATTCTCTGCAATCATCTCCATCAATCAGCTGTTGTGTGATGTGCAGTCTGGCGCAATATGGCTGCTGTTGCATAATCCAGGTGGATGCTGCACACTGGTGGTGGATGAGGAGATTCCCCCCAATGAGTAAAGTGTATTGAGTGTCCAGAAAATTGCTATATAAATGATAGAAATTATTATTATTATTATTATTAATTATTTTTTAATATTATTATTATTATTATTTATTCACCCTTAACTTGTTCCAAACCTGTAAACCTGAGTTTATTTCACATACTAGGTATTTTTGTATATTGGTCACTAAGCAGTTGATGTTGTGCAGTAAAAAGATTCTTTGCAAGTCAATGGGTATAGGCTTATCAACTTTCATTCTTCAAAATATCTTCTTGTGTTCAACAGATGAAATAATCTCTTACACGTTCGGAGGACGTAATGGGTGAAAAAAAAATTTTAGGGAATCATTTACTGCTCCTTGACACAAAACTTGTCCTGGAAGCTGGAGGTGTATAGCTCTCATGACATGATTTGTGACATGGCCCCTATACCCTTATTCACAGCTCTCTACATAAGCCCACTAATATAGACCATTTAAAGGAGCAAATAAAAAGGAGTAAGTGAATTTAAGCACTTTTGTTTGTGCTTTTGCTGGTTGATAAAACCTTCAGATGATATAGATTCTTTTTATTAGTTGTGAGGAAAAAAAAACATAAAACTAAAAGCATCCTGTCTGGTACATTTAATTGATTCATTTGTTTTCATTTACTCCTTCAAGTGGACTAATGTAGAGATATGAAACTAGGTTTTAGAAGACAACTTTAATGTTTAGATAAAATCTTGAATTACCACTTCGAGGACAATATATCGCCACCTGCTGGTATGACAATGTAATGATCTCCAGAAACGTCCACGGGACTACGTTTTCAGAATGAGCCTGGGTTGCAACGATGAACATGGAAAAACCAATTTACAGACTGCACAGTAAAATAGTACGATGAACATGTCATGACAACACATGATTGTATGTCACTTTAATTGATGAAAACATTTTTTGTACAAGATATAAGAAAATAGTTTAGGTTAATGTTATGTAAAAATATAAAATATTACTAATAAAATAAAACTCAAGACTTTCAGGAACATTAAAAAAAAAACAGATTTTCATAGATAAAAATTAACCAAAATATAGCTTTAAAATTATGAAAGACAGCCTATTATTCTGTCCATTTCAGGGATCTTAAGGGTCAAGCTTTTCCTGCACAAAATTAAAATGAAACTAAAGATTTTCTGGAACATTCAAGCAAAAAAAAAAAAAAAAAAAAAAAAAAAAAAAAAAAGTTTTTTCACAGATGAAAATGAACCAAGCTTCAGAATTATGAAAGAATCCCTATTCACTATTCTGTCCATTTCAAGCATGGAAAGGGTGGCGCTTTCCTCCACATTTCATTTGGAAAAAAAAAAAAAAAAAAACATAGACATGTGATAAAGATTGCCATACCTCTGACAATACTCACAATATCTGCCTCATCCTGAAAGACTTGGCAACTGCGAGCCTGCAAACAAGGTAAAAAAAAGTCTTTATTATCATTCATTCAACCAGTTCTGTCCAAAGCTAAATGTTTACTAAAATGTTTATAGGTTTAAGATAAGTCTGTTATTCTAACTACTGTAAATTAAGGTTTGTAAATGTGAAGAGTGCACCTACTGTATTGTGTCACATTCCATGTAACAGTGGACATCTGTCAGGTATCTCATTAATGTATTTGTTAATTTAAATTACTTATAACAATCTCAAAAAAATCTTTACATGATCACATTTGAGCACTGTTGCAGCTGACATAATATGTGATGATCTATTAAAAGGACTATAGGCCATAATTGATATTTATTTGCTTAGCATTGGTTGTCTTAGCTTGGCACTTTTAATAACGAATGCTTCTTCTATAACTGAATTTATAAGCTTCATACAAATGATTGATGAAGGTGTTTACAAAATGATCTACTGGCGAACTATTATCTAAAGGGGCTGATCATACTGAGATTTACCCATGTATGGACATTTGAGTATGATGACTGTTGTGCCTCTTAAAAATATGTAGAGTTCCAGGGTTGTAAACAGTACTTAGGAATATAGCTGATTACAAGTACATATACTTATTAAAATATTACTCAGTTAAACAAGTATCTTTTCCAAGGTATACCTGAATAAATGTTTTAAAAGTACAGTTTTAAATTGTATATACACTAACTATTAGAAAAAGTAACCTATAACAAAATTTAAAAACAGAAGAGATTTTTGCTTGTCGAATCATTTTCTAATGCAAGATGAAATAAATAGTATATATGATTGTCAAAAATACATACAAAGTAATCTAGAAATACAATGGTAACACTCAAAAACATTTTAAATTCCTACAATTACAAGATGCAATACAAAGAAAAACAAAATGCAGCCCTTTAAATTGAAATGATTTCATCATTTACACCCTCATGACTTTTAATGTATGAGTTTTATTCCTGAAAAAAAGTTTCTGCATATTCCTTGTCATCATTTCTGTATGTAATTATTTGCTATTGATGAATTAATGAGCAAGGCACCGACAGCCCTAATTGTCACTAAATGCATAAGCACACATATATACAGTTGCAGTCAGAATTTTTAGCCCCCTTTGAATTTTTTCTTAAATGTTTCCTAAATTATGTTTAACAGAGCAAGGGAATTTTCACAGTATGTCTTATAATATTTTTTTCTTCTGGAGAAAGTCTTATCGGTTTTATTTCGGCTAGAATAAAAGTAGTTTTTAATTTTTTATGGAACATTTTTAAGTTATTAACTTTAATTATATTTAATACTTTAATAATTATCAAAATTATTAGCTCCTTTCAGCTATTTTTTTCAGACGGTCTACAGAACAAACCGTTATTATTTAATAACTGGCCTTATTACCCCAACCTGCCTAGTTAACCTTATTAACCTACTTAAGCCTTCAAATGTTTAAGTGTCTTGAAAAATATCTAACAAAATATTATTTACTGGGTTACTTTTATTGTCATCGTGGCAAAGATGAAATAAATTTGTTATTAGAGATGAGTTATTAAAACTAATATGTTTAGAAATATGTTGAAAAAATCTCTTCGTTAAACAGAAATTGGGGGAAAAAAAATAAACAGCAGGGCTAATAATTCTGACCTTATATAAATAAATAAATAAATAAATAAATAAATAAATATATATATATATATATATATATATATATATATATATATATATATATATATATATATATATATATATATATATATATATATATATATATATATATATAAACATCATTGGATCTAGCATGTTAACAAAAGATATTTGCAAATTTAAAGTGCAACAGATGGAAGAAAATATAACATAAATGTAAAAATGCGGCAAATTCAAAAGATTATAAAATTCTAAGTGCACCTCACACAGGTGAGTGGGCTTGACAAACCACCTGCAGAAAACTCTTAAATTCTGTGTCTTAAACTGACACATGCACCAGTATTTGTACATTTTCACCAGACACTTTCTTAAAAACTAAATAAAAAAATACAAAAATATTGTGCATTTATCACTTAGGTGAGTGGGCTTGACAAACCAGCTGTAGAAACACAGTTTTCCCTATTTAAAATCATAATAAAAATACCCCCCCTTCCTAACTCTAGCCATTAGTTCTTTGAGGAGTAACAGTTCCTTTGTATAATTATAAAACCTATTGTGTGGATTGCCTCTCCTTGTTGAATCGCTGAATGCCTCCTCAATTGTAATTCACATTGCACAAAAGCATCTGCTAAATGACTAAATGCTAATGTAAACATTTTATCAAATAAATTTGTATAACCTAACAAATCTTTTATAACCTAAAAATCTAAATTATCCAAAATTAATAATACTGTAAAACTGAAGTAAGAAAGTAAAACTGAAGTATTACGACTGTAATTTCTTTAGTCTTCACAAAAGGCAAAATTTCCATAGATATACTTAAAATTATTAAGTTTGTGCTAGTTTGATACTTATTAAATACTATATAACAATTTTCTGCATATATTCATCATTCAGTCTTTAAACATGGACAAGAAGTTGGACCTGTCCAGGCTATCAGAAGAAGAGGCCAAGCATGTGTGGGAGGTCATTCAAAGAGACTTTGTCCTCCGGAAGAAGGAAGAGGAAAGACTTGGGTGAGGATTTAATTTAGATTAAAAACCTCAATGTTATCATATAGATTAGAGTGACTTTATTTAACATCGTCTAACACTTCTTAATTGAGTAAGCTTATTCTGGTAGTGGAGCCAGCCTGCAATAGTGTGGGTGGTTCAGTGTTCATATTTGCATTTCTCAACACATCATAGTTTTAACAGTGACATAAGTTTATGAGAAATGTGACCACGTGTGAAAGCCCAGTGTTGTAAAGACATCATGATGATCATGGTACAGTCACAAGGCCCGATCACACCATTCCACTGGCTGGGAAAACATGATGCCCCAGAGCTCCATTCTCTTCGCACAAGGAGGTCTTCTGTTTGGCTTCTGAATTGTTTTTTACTCAAATGTTCTTTTCGATTTGTTGACAAGGACGGTTATATACTGTGTGGTTTGGATTTGAATTCTTGATCAGACCATTTTACAACATCCGTTATGTGCTCTGTTTTTTTCTGTATCGTGAATTTACTGGAAGATTCAGTGTAGGACTCTGTGACCAACTGAGCTTTTTAAAGCAATCTATTGTTCAGTGTTCCATGACATTAAAGGCCTTTTGATAATAAAATTAGCAATATACTGATACTACGTCTGACTTATAATCTAATAAACTAGTTATTGTTTGTTATGGTTATGCTTTGTATAACCTTATGTAATAGTGTTAGTATGTATAATAATTCATAATTCAAAGTAAATATAAAGATAATATAATGGTATTTTACATGAGTTTTAAAGTATTAGGGTTTAAAAATGGTAATAAAGTTCATATTAAAGAAAACTGGATCCTTCTTGTAGAAGAACAGTGTTAGATTGTGCTTCTTCTCTGTGCACACAACGGCTGATATATACAATATGACAATCTATAAACTTAATGTAATCATTATTTAATGGTTAAATGAATGAATGAATGTGTCAGGGTTCTGCCACTTTGGTCTTGTAAATTCTTGTTTTGGTGGCAGAGCTCTGACACTACTCAATGTCTGGTCCTGTTTCTGTCTCTGTGTGCGCGCGCGCCGTCGTGGGTGTACGCAGAGTGTGCGCGCTGCCACATGATGTGGCCGCGCACGCTCTGCGTCCCTCAGACGCGCGCGCTCTTGTACTAGTGTTTGTGTTTGTTCTGTCAGCAGCGCGCTGCTTTATTCTCGGCGCCTCCGTCTAGTTGGTTTCAGTTTTGGTTGGCGCTGAGATGAAGCATGCACGTTGCTTATGTGTGAGCGCACGGTAAGGTGTTTATCTATCGTGTGCTCGTGTCTTGCGTCTTTTGTCAAAGCACGTGGCTCGGTGTTTACATTGTGGTCACGTGCTTTTGTCGTGTGCTTCAGTGTTGTGTTATGTGAGCGCATGGCTTGTATTGTCTCTCTGTGTCATGCGCTCTCCCGTCTATTGTCTAGTCCCACCCTCCTTGTCAACCCATTATTAGTTAATTGTGTTCACCTGTGTGTCAATTTACTTTTTTGCTTTATAATCCCCCTCATGTTTTCAGTCCTTTGCCAGTTCGTTGTCTACACTCCCTGTGTTCCTGATCCAGTCTTGCCTTGTTCTTGTTGAGCCAAGTTTGTGTGTTTTGTTAATGTTTTCCCCCTCGGGGTAGTTTTGTTTTGCTTTTTATTTTATTATTAATAAATACCCATTGTTTCTTTGCACTTGAGTCCTCGCTCCTTTTCCCCTCACCGAACCCTGACAGTACGAACTGGCCATAACAGAGGACTCAGCAGAAATATGGGTATCTTCCTTTTCCCATCTCCCAGTTCACGTCCCTCTGCATGCCAGCAGAAGGAACGTTTGGGCAAACTCTTTGGTCTTCATCAAGGGGAAACTTCAGTCAAGGAGTTTGCCTACCAGTTTGTCTACGCAGCAGAGGGGCTCGAGTTTACCACCACAGCACTGAAGGAGGCTTTCAATGCTGGACTCAACAGCCCCCTTCAGGCCTGGGAGATGGGGATGCTGGGGATACTGTCATTCTGGCAGTTTGTGAGCTATTTGTACCACAGCCAGGGAGACGGTGGCCTGCCTCCCCTTGGCCCACCGCCAATCCCGCTCACAGACTGCCAAATCCCCAGTCCTCCGATGACCCACCAACGGAGACGGAGGAGGAAGAACGGGCCCTCCTCACCTGTCACCCACCTAGAGGTGACTGAACCCACTGCAGCCCATCCAGCAACCACCCTGGCGGCAGCAACATCCCTCGAGGTGCCCGAAACAGACACTGCAACACTTTCAGAGGTAGTGGAGTGCCCAGCAGTGTCTGAAGAGGTGGCCAGCTTCCCGCCACCAAAAATAAGGAAGCGTAGGAGGAGAAAGGGCTCCTCCACCATACTGGCTCCAGCCCCTGAGCGCCCTCCAGTGTCGGCTCCAGCCCCTGAGCGCCCTCCAGTGTCGGCTCCAGCCCCTGAGCGCCCTCCAGTGTCGGCTCCAGCCCCTGAGCGCCCTCCAGTGTCGGCTCCAGCCCCTGAGCGCCCTCCAGTGTCGGCTCCAGCCCCTGAGCGCCCTCCAGTGTCGGCTCCAGCCCCTGAGCGCCCTCCAGTGTCGGCTCCAGCCCCTGAGCGCCCTCCAGTATCGGCTCCAGCCCCTGAGCGCCCTCCAGTGTCGGCTCCAGCCCCAGAGCGCCCTCCAGTGTCGGCTCCAGCCCCAGAGCGCCCTCCAGTGTCGGCTCCAGCCCCAGAGCGCCCTCCAGTGTCGGCTCCAGCCCCAGAGCGCCCTCCAGTGTCGGCTCCAGCCCCAGAGCGCCCTCCAGTGTCGGCTCCAGCCCCAGAGCGCCCTCCAGTGTCGGCTCCAGCCCCAGAGCGCCCTCCAGTGTCGGCTCCAGCCCCAGAGCGCCCTCCAGTGTCGGCTCCAGCCCCAGAGCGCAGCTCAGTGCCGGTCCCAGTCCGGCTCCTTGCCCTGCCGGCGCCATCCAGACGTCTTGCCCTGCCGGCTTCAGCCCGGCTCCTTGCCCTGCCGGCACCACCCAGACGTCTTTCCCTGCCGGCACCACCCAGACGTCTAGCCCTGCCGGCACCAGCCCGGCTCCTTGCCCTGCCGGCGCCACCCAGACGTCTTGCCCTGCCGGCGCCACCCAGACGCCTTGCCCAGCTGGCCCCAGCCCGGCTCCTTGCCCTGCCGGCGCCACCCAGACGTCTTGCCCTGCCGGCGCCACCCAGACGTCTCGCCCTGCCGGCGCCACTCAGACGTCTCGCCCAGCCAGCCCCAGCCCGGCTCCTTGCTCTGCCGGCGCCACCCAGACGTCTCGCCCTGCCGGCGCCACCCAGACGTCTCGCCCTGCCGGCGCCACCCAGACGTCTCGCCCTGCCGGCGCCACCCAGACGTCTCGCCCTGCCGGCGCCACCCAGACGTCTCGCCCTGCCGGCGCCACTCAGACGTCTCGCCCAGCTAGCCCCAGCTCGGCGCCCTGCCCTGCCGGCCCCATCCAGACGTCTCGTCCTGCCGGTCCCAGCCCGGCGCCTTGCCCTGCCGGCTCCCCTCTGGTCTCCTGCCCTGCCGGCTCCCCTCTGGTCTCCAGCCCAGCCGGCTCCCCACAGGCCTCCAGCCCAGCCGGCTCCCCACCGACCTCCTGCCTTGTCTCCCCTGATAGACTCTCCCTGGGTCGTCCCTCCTGCTCCTCCCTGGTGTTCCCTCCCTGCACCCTGGACGGACCCTCCGGCTCCACCCTGGCTCCCTGCCGGGGCCCCCGACCCACTGAATCCACCCTGGACTGTCCCTCCTGATCCTCCCCGGTCTTGCCCTCCCATCCCTCCCTTGTTCGTCTTGTTGGGTCTGGCTTGGCTTCCCTCCCTCCCTCCCTTCATGTCGTCTTGCCTGTTCACCTCCCTGTCTTGTGTCTGTTGATGTTGCCTGTTTTGTTGTCTTGTAGTGTTTCTTGTCTATCTTGTACCTTGTTGGATGTTCCCTTTAGGGACGCCAGGTGGCGTCCCTTTTGGGGGGGGCTAGTGTCAGGGTTCTGCCACTTTGGTCTTGTAAATTCTTGTTTTGGTGGCAGAGCTCTGACACTACTCAATGTCTGGTCCTGTTTCTGTCTCTGTGTGCGCGCGCGCCGTCGTGGGTGTACGCAGAGTGTGCGCGCTGCCACATGATGTGGCCGCGCACGCTCTGCGTCCCTCAGACGCGCGCGCTCTTGTACTAGTGTTTGTGTTTGTTTTGTCAGCAGCGCGCTGCTTTATTCTCGGCGCCTCCGTCTAGTTGGTTTCAGTTTTGGTTGGCGCTGAGATGAAGCATGCACGTTGCTTATGTGTGAGCGCACGGTAAGGTGTTTATCTATCGTGTGCTCGTGTCTTGCGTCTTTTGTCAAAGCACGTGGCTCGGTGTTTACATTGTGGTCACGTGCTTTTGTCGTGTGCTTCAGTGTTGTGTTATGTGAGCGCATGGCTTGTATTGTCTCTCTGTGTCATGCGCTCTCCCGTCTATTGTCTAGTCCCACCCTCCTTGTCAACCCATTATTAGTTAATTGTGTTCACCTGTGTGTCAATTTACTTTTTTGCTTTATAATCCCCCTCATGTTTTCAGTCCTTTGCCAGTTCGTTGTCTACACTCCCCGTGTTCCTGATCCAGTCTTGCCTTGTTCTTGTTGAGCCAAGTTTGTGTGTTTTGTTAATGTTTTCCCCCTCGGGGTAGTTTTGTTTTGCTTTTTATTTTATTATTAATAAATACCCATTGTTTCTTTGCACTTGAGTCCTCGCTCCTTTTCCCCTCACCGAACCCTGACAGAATGAATGAATGAATGAATGAATGAATGAATGATGTACACCGAAGGCATTTTGCAATCATAATAGGTGGTCTCTCCACATCAAAACCAGTGTGCAGCATCCACTTAGATTATATAATGGTAGCCACAGGACAATGGCGCCAGTGCGCTCACTACACACCAACTATTGCTGGAATGGAGGGACAGTGTAAGAACCAATTCAGTGGATGGGTAAGAGTCGATAGAGAGAATTTGACCAGGACACTCCGGTTACACCCCTGGTTTTTACAAGAAATGCCATGGGGTTTTTAATGACCACAATGAGCCAGGACCTTGGTTTAAAGTCTCATTTAAAAGACATCACTCACTGAGAAGTATAGTGTCCCCTTTACTATACTGGGGCATTAGGGCTCACACAGACCACAGGGTAAGCACCCTCTTTTGGCATCACTAACACCACTTAAAGCAGCAACCAAGTTTACCCATGTAGTTTCCCATCCATGTACTAACCAGGCTCAGCCCTGCTTAGCTTCAGTGAGTAACCAGTCTTGGTCTGCAGGGGATATGGCAAGGGGAGTCCCTTACCACAATGTTGCAGGCTATAAAACAAACAGGATCACTACTGTAAAATATAATCACGAATTCAAAAATGAAAGAAACACGATTGAAAGGGGTTCCGTTTTGTCAAGTTTACCCTGTTTTCCAACATGTTTATAGCAAAAGTCACAGTGTTTTAAAAAAAGCTGTATGAAGCAAATAAAATGAAACACAACGTCACATCATTTGTTTTGGGAAAATTAATAAGCAGCATCTCAACATCCATATGAAAGCATCTGGCTTTGCTTTTCAGAGTAGCATATGTAGTTATCTTTTTTAAGTGAGGTACTGTATAAGTTGCTATGCATGAATGAATAATATTTTTGCGCTTTTACACATAATAATCCATGATCACATTACACAATACTAAAACTGCACGTGAAAATAACATGTTGTGTATATTTTTGACACCCCCAAAACTTCACAAGTCATGTTTTCACAAGTCATGTTTTTAGGGAAGCTGAGCTGCCCCTAGCTCCCCTGTAGCTTCCACCCTGTCTCTTTTAGACTGCTATGGTGTGCATTTTCACTGTTCTTCTAGAGTTTCTAGCTATAACTTTGTTGCGAGCTAGTTTCCAGATATGTTCCATCATGTTTATAGGATTCTCCTTCAGAAAAAAAAATATATAAAAAGTGTGCTATAAGCATTCTTTTTTCAAATACAAAGTATGTTGTACTTTTTTGAAAAAAAAAAAAAATGTAATTTAGGTATTTCTCAAAAAATATATAATATTATATATATATATATATATATATATATATATATATATATATATATATATATATATATATATATATTAATAAATAAATATATATATAAATTTCCACTTAACTATACTTGATTTATACAGAGAGGAAAGTATATATATTTTTAAAATTTGGCCTATGGTCTGGTCTATGTTTATCGACATAAACATTAAAGTATAATTATGCCCCAATTATTGTTGGCTTGTGGTTGTTTTTACTCTTTTGATAAAAAAAAATAAAAAATTATTGACAAACCCACAATAGTAAATACTATGTTTCAGAGACAACGCTAGGTAAATTGAACAAACTAATAGGAGTCTGCGTGTGTGTGAATTTGAATGTGAGAGTGTATGGATGTTTCCCAGTACGAGGTTGCAGCTGGAAGGGGAACCACTGTGTAAAACTTATGCCAGAATACTTGGTGGTTCATTCCATTGTGGTGACCCCTGATAAATAAGCGATTAAGCCAAAGGAAAAAGAATGAATAATATGCATGAATACTCAAAAGGAACGAGATCACGATACCAACCTTCTTTATACCTGTTTCTGGAGGTTACGATCAGCCTGATAGTATTTTAAGTTTTGCCAGTTTATTGGCTAATTCGTAGGAATTTGTACGAGTCCAGTCGTACGAAATTGTATGTTTTTAAAAAGGAGGCGTGGCACCTAACCCCACCCCTAAACCCAACCGTCATTGGGGGATGAGCAAGTTGTACTAAATTGTACGAATTCATACAAATTAGCCAGTAAATCCAAAATTTACGAATTGCCGTAAGATTGTGTTGGACATTCTGTCAATCATGCTATATGTAAGAATCAAACACTTAAATGTTACACAATATCATCCTCTGAATAAAGCCAAGGCCGATTGCGTAGGTTTTTTGACGTAATTTCCAATTTATTAACCCAAAATGACAGCAACATCTTTGTTTACCCACATTTGAAAAGTAGGTGAAAGTATGAAATTTCATATACAGCCATTCTCTTTGATTTTGAGCCATTCTCTTTATTTCTTTATCTTCTACTGATCAATGTTAGCTCACCAAAATAGCTCACTACAAATCATCCTCCTCTTTCAATAATTATTGCCAATAATTATGCCCCTCATAACAGGTACTGGTGCTCCAATAGCAAAAGTTGATCCTGACATGCTCTAAGTGCACTTATGCTTTATCACTCAGATCTTTAAAATAGAGCCCTATGAATCTGAAAGAAGGTTGTAGATTTTTGTATTCTCTGACTGTTTGTATTATACTGCAGGGAACTTAAAACTAAGATTGAGAAGGAGGAAGCTAAGAGGGAACTCCTGGGCTCTCAATCAAACCTGAGTGAGTCTCACTGCATCCGCTGCCTGCAGCCCTTTAAGTTCCTGGTGAACAGCAGACGACAGTGTGTGGATTGCAAACTCTTCACCTGCAAGACCTGCAGCCGCTACAACAAGAACGAGCATGGCTGGGTGTGCGACCCCTGCCGCATGTCCAGGTTAAGAAAGATTACATTCCATTACAGAAATTGTCCATGCACATTCCATTTGGTTTGAAGGTAATGCTTTGTTTTGATTTCTACAGATTTTCCCCAAAAATAATGATTTGGAATTTATATATTATTTTTTATTATTATTCATTTATTTTTTTTATACTTATTAATAAATGTGATTTCATTCTGTTCAGGGAGATATAGACCAATTCTCGCTATTAAAGTACCAATGAAATCAAAACTAACCAGATGATTTTGTTAGCTCACTTTGCTAGTTTTGTGGTGAACAATTAATCTGTGTGTGTCATTAAGAAAAAAAAAGGGTTTGCCCTTGTAATCTTTAATTGAATTCTGAAAATGCACTTCCTGTTTTTTTATTTTTATTTTATTTTTTTAGTTAAATTCTCAGATTACATTTGTCTGAGGTGTTAGGTAGGTTAACCACGCCCCTCCAACTGTCAGTTTTGACAACAAACAGAAAAAGTGAGAAGGGGGTGTTATGTGGTAATAACAATACACAGCAAGCATTTTTTGTTTTTAAAAGATGTCTAGTAGACGTCTAATAGATGTCTAAACATAGTCGTCTTGGCTAAACAAGGCTAAATTTAGGTTGTCAGTGAAAATCTAGTAGACATCTAAGAATAGGCCTAAACTAGACTAGTCACCAAATAAACAGAAATGAATGACTACACATATAAAGTCTGTCTAATCTTTTTATTTGATGACTAATCTAGTTTTGGGCTATTCTTAGATGTCTATTGGATTTTCACTCATATAGCCCAAGTTTAGCCTTGTTTTAGCCTAGCTGTATATATGTAGATGTCTATTAGAAGTCTATTAAACACAAAATTGTTTGCTGGGTAGTATCTGTATGCAGCCTATATGATGCAAGCTGAGACTGCATATCTCAGTGATGCAATGTCAGACATAATGCACTCAGTGGAGCTAGTGACGTCACTGTGAGGGGTAGGGTTGGGGTGGGGTTAGGTGAGTGCATTGAAATGCATTGGATGCAGCTTAGATTGCACTGCATATAGACCCCTCTCTCGGTGATAAACCCATTTCCCAATCTGTCTGAATGAAATTCCTACTTTACTACATCCCAGCTTGCAGTACAAAAAACAAGACACGGCCACTGTTTTCTCGTTTAATATTCTGTTTCTCTAGGTACTGCATCACAATATGAAAAATAAATATTTGCAGCTTCCGGTTTATGTGGAGTTTAACTATTAATTTTGCCTCTATTTTTTATTTGCTGCTTATTAATAGTATAGTAGCTATTAAATGCATTATATTTGATAAAGAGATATGATAAAGCAATCTAAACTAATGTCATCATTAAGTAAATGGGGTAAAACATTAATATGTGCTTATAAGTATTAATAAACAGCCAATGTATGTGCGCTGTAAAATGCATGTTAATAAGTAACTTAATAATGATAATTGGTCCTCAAACTGGAGTTTTAGTGCATGGTGTAAATTAGCATAGGGTTTGTCATTATTTAATTACATTTCACTTGTTTTAAACCTGTTTGAGTTTCTTTCTTCTGATGAATTCAAAAGGAGATGTTGGGAACTTATAAGCACCGACTTTTGTAGTATTTTTTTCCCATGTTGAACGTCAGTAGTAAACATTTCCCAACATTTAAAACTCTTTTTATTATTAAAGATTTGGAACCACTTGAGTGAGAATAAATTGGGATTAAATGTAATTTTTGGGGGGGAACTAATCATTTAATTGGCCTGTATTTAAAATATTTAACCAGTTTACTGATAGATTGATTAATTTATTGGACAAAAATTAAAAAAAATAAATAAATAATGAAATAAACCTATTTCTATTTTTTTTTTTTTTTGCAGAGTACTAAAAATCGGAACTTTAGGATGGTACCACGACAACGTCCACTCCCGCTTCAAGCGTTTTGGCAGTGCAAAAGTGATGCGGTCCCTGTACAAGAGATTAAATGAAGAGGGTGAGTGCTATTAAAAGCCTCTTGATAGCCTTTATTGTGTCCACATTGAGGCTGTCACATCATCATGCTGGTTCCATATCACTAGTCATTTTAAGTAGTTACGCAACCAAGTGGGTGTAAAGTAATTAAGAGATAATATACAGACAGTCTGTCATTTTTGCAAAATAAACCCTGATGTGGTGATTAGAGTTCAGAATAGGGGTTTTATCACCATAAATTACTTTATTTTATGATAATGACAGACAGACTACTTAAATTATTCCTCTTATAGCAGTTACACACTAAATAAATTTGGTTTACAGTCTACATTTTGACTCAAAGTTATGAAATATGTCGTTATTATAAAGGAAAATTCAAAATGATTAAAGTCATAATTTTACAAAATTGTGTATTTAATTTTTTTTACTTGATTTTAATTTAATTTAATTTAATTTAATTTAATTTAATTTAATTTAATTTAATTTAATTTAATTTAATTTAATTTAATTTTGATGAAAGAATACATTTATACAGTATTACCTCCAAAGTTCCAATAGAAAAAAATAACTTGTGTGGCACATAACAGCATATTTTGTAATCATTTGTGAAATAAAACAAAAACTTTCATCATCTCAACAAGAATTTAACATATAGTAAATATTATGTAGCTGAAGCTTATATGCACTGCCTTTCAAGTGAAGAGGCTATTATTACAGTATGTTTGTGTTTATTTAGTTACCAAGAGAATTTGTTTATCATTCAATTCAAAGCACTCTGTCCAGAGGCTGAGGCCATATCTGGGTCACATGATGTGTCTGGGCCTTTGTAGAACTTACTGATGATATTTATAGCTTTGCATGACAAGACATGTTAAACAGAAGAATGAGAAACTTTGTCTGAATGCACATTAAATGGGGGTGTACAGTAGTTTATTTACTATAAGTTAAACCTGACCACGTTTGGTTTATAGCTAAAAACTGTACAAAAATATGTACTGCGGTGTGAAAAAAAGTGTTTGCCTCTCTTTTTGCATAACACTTTAATCTTTTAGATCATCAAACAAATTTAAATATAGTGAAAGATAACACCAGTAAACATGTCATGCATTGGAATTGAAGGTTTTTATTATTAAGGGAAAACAAAATACAAAATTACATAGCACTGTGTGAAAAGTTTTGTCCCCTTGTTAAAACATAACTCTGGATTATCACACCTGAGTTTAATTTCTCTAGCCACACCCACACCTGTTCAGAACCAAGAAATCACTTAAATATGACTGGCCTGACAAAGTTACATAGACCAAAATATCCTCAAAAGACAGACATCATGCAGGGATCCAAATAAATTCAAAAATAAATGAAAAAGTAAATGTTTAAGATCTAGTCCAGTCTGAAAAAAAAGTTATAAAGCTTTGGAAATGTTGTGACCCACAGTGCGAGCCATCATCTACAAACGGCAAAAACATTGAACAGTGAACAACCTTTCTAGTGGCCAGCTGAGGAAAAATTACCCCAAGACCACAGAAACATCCCATCTAACAGGTCACAAAAGACCCCACAACAACATTCAAAGAACTGCATGGGCCTGTTTCAGTAAGGAGGTTCAACCAACCCTGAATTAAAACTTGAACTCTGAGATAATTTATCGAGAGATTAAAAACTTTCGGTTTCAGAACAACTGATCTGAGTTAGGTCAATCAACTTTGAGTAGACCCACTCAGAGTTAAACGCGTATAATGTGACTATAAAAAGGCATTATCAACAGAATGCAGATATTATGAGTGACCATGGCTACATCTGAAAAAAAGAGATCACGATTTCTTTCTCCAGCTGAACTTGATCTGCTCATGCAAAGTTATAACAAATATGAGCATATATTTTAAAAAGCATTACCACTGCAACAGTGAAACATACAGTTAGCATGGAAAAACAGCTGATGAAGTTAATGTGTAATTTTACATCTAAAGTATTTAAATATTTAATTATATTAAAAAGTAATGTAATGTGCGACGTTTATAAAAAAATGTACACACATTCCCACTTTTATACACGTTGATCAGTTTAAATAGATTTAAAAGGGCACTTGAGTGTCTGCCTTTATTGATCAATTAGTGGAGATTGATACAACATTTAGAATGTAAGCAATACTAAAAAATAGTTTTTAGAATGAATAATAATGCCATTAATCTAGTTATAGTACATGTTAAAGGTCAGTGAATTTAAGCAAATTATTTATTTATAAAGGACAAGCCATTCTCGTACAAGACTTTGTTCTTTGTGTGACTGAAATGTAGGCAATAGCTGTGTTTCCAAAAAAATTTAAATAAAAATAAATGTATGTGCAAAACTGGAATAAAAAATGTGCGAATAAAGTAGCGCTGCCATTTAACGAATCAAAGAGAACAAAATAGTCACTTCCTGATTAACTGGCGGCAAATATCAACAGTAAAAAACTGAATTTACTGCAGTAGAAGCTGCGCTAATATTTTCTTTATTTAATAAATGTACTTGCGTCTCAGAAGACAATGCTGACACACAATGAACACGTTAGGGCCATGAGACGAGGGGAACATATGCTTTTGACACTCTGGGGGTGATTAATAATATACATTAATACTGAAATGGTAAAGGCCTTTAAGAATGACCAAAACAGCATTTCCGATGTTCTGCAGTGTGCTCAGCCTGCTGATTTGTCCATTCACACACATTTTCATCATCATCTCTAATAATATTCTTTTTTTAATGCAAATATTGGAATTTGTTCAGTAAAAGTGTTTCCATTGCACTTTATGCGCATCTTTTCTTATCGAATAAAAGTTTATCCTACTCAGTTATGCGCATGTTTTATTATGCATATTTTCAAGTGTGCATCATGACGTTTCCATCAATCGTTTTTATCCGCGTATCCAAAATGAGCATTAAAATAGGTGGGTGGAAACGTAAGGCTAAGGCGAGAAATACCGCTTCCTCTTTAAAAAAGGGGAGGAGACCAGTCGAAACTCAGAGTTTAGAGATTAAAGCCTGCTCCTGACCAGGTTAGGTTCACAGAGTAAGTTACCACGATAACTGACTCTGAGTTAAAGTTACTTCTCTTTTAGAAACAGGCTTGACTTACCCTGCTTTCTCAAGTTTGATAAACCTGCCATTTTGAAATAGAAAACCCAGAGTTTCTCTCATTTCAGGGTTAAAATACTCTGAGTTTTCACATAACCTCCTTTCTGAAACGGGCCCCTGGTCTCACTTACCTCAGTTAAAGCGGGCGTTCATGACTCCACCATAAGAAAGAGACTGGGCAAAAATGATTTGCATGACAGAGTTCAACATGAAAACCACTGCCAAGCATTAAAGGTCCCAGAAAACATCTTGATGATCCCCAAGAATTTTTGGGAAAATACTCAGTGGACTGACGAGATAAAATTTGATGTTATGTATTTGAAAGTATGTATTCCCATTATGTGTAGTGTAAAATTATTACTGTATTTCAGAAAAAGAACATCATACCAACAGTTTAATGTGGTGGTGGAAGTGTAATCCACTGCGGCTGTTTTGCTGGTTCAGAACCTGAAAGACTTGCTGTGATAAATGGAACCATGAATTCTACTTTGTACCAAAATAATCTGAAGGAGAATGTCCAGCCATATGAATCTCCTGACATCAAGCTGAATTGACTTTGAGTTCTGCAGCACGACAATGATCCAAAAGACACTAGCAAGTCCAGTTCTGAATGGCCTGAGAAAAACATAATAAAGACTTTGGAGTGGCCAAGTCAAAGCCCTGACCTGAATCCAACTAAGATGCTGTGACATGACTTTAAAAAGGTGGTTCATGCTTGAAAACCCTTTAATTTTTCTAAATTACAACAATTTTGCAAAGATGAGAGAGCCAAAATTCCTTCACACCCCTTTTACAGACTCATTGGAAGTTATTAAAGTGGTTAATTGCAATTGTTGCTTCTAAGGGTGGCTCAACCAGTTATTTGGTTAAGGAGGCAAACATTTCTTTACACAGGGCTATACATAGTCTGTATTTTGTTTTCCCTTACTGATAAAAACCTTCATTTCAGAACTGCATGGTGTTCTTACTTGTGTTATCTTTGACTAATATTTAAATTTGTTTAATAATCTGAAACATGGTGTTGCGGTGGTGTAGAGGGTAGCACGTAGAAGGTCACTGGTTTGAGCCTTAACTGAATCAGTTGGCATTTCTGTGTGGAGTTTGCATGTTCTCCCTGTGTTTGTGTGGGTTTCCTCCGGGTGCAAAGACATGTGGTACAGTTGAATTGGGTATGCTACAATTGATCATAGTGTATCGGTGTGTGTGTGTGTGAATGAGTGTGTATGGATGTTTCCCAGTAATGGGTTGCGGCTGGAAGGGCATCGTTGCGTAAAAACATATGCTTGATAAGTTGGTGGTTCATTCCATTGTGGCGACCCAAGATTAATAAAGGGATTAAGCTGAAAAGAAAATGAACGAATCTGAAACATTAAAGTGTGACAAACATGCAAAAAACAATAAGAAATCTTTAAGGGGGCAAACACTTTTTTTAAACCACTGTGTGTACGTATATTTAGTATACTTTTATCATCAATTTTGTTGTGGTGTGTATAAAAATTCTTCATATTTCTGTCTGAGTGCCTTAAAAAAATTGCAAAAAAATGACACATTTTCCCTGCATGTCATATTCTCATGAATAACATTAATTGTTTCCTCAGGGCATCGTGATGATGACACACAGAGCATGCCTGATGTGCGCAGTGAGTACATAATCATACTCATAGTATCATCAAGCAAACGACTGAGGGCATTTGGCCAAGCATTGTTGAGATATATTGGTAATATAAAATCTATTTTGACATTTCACCACTGTAATATTAGTGTTTTATTCACAGATGCTTATAATGGTCATGATGAAGAACATATGGATGCATCTGAAGCTCAACGTTATAAGCAGGTTGAAATAAAGCATGATTTAAATATATATATATTATTTGTTTGTTGCATGTGGCCAAAATCCTACTGAAGCCTATTGAATCCTACTGAATAACATACAATTAAAGTCAAAATCATTAGCCCCTTCCCCAATTTCTGTTTAACAAAAAGAAGATTTTTTTTCAACACATTTCTAATCATAATAGTTTTAATACCTCATTTCTAATAACTGATTTATTTTATCTTTGCCATGATGACAGTAAATAATATTTGACTAGATATTTTTCAAGACACTTCTATACAGCTTAAAGTGACATTTAAAGGCTTAAGTAAGTTAATTAGGTTAACTATGCAGGTTAGGGTAATTAGGCAAGTTATCTTATAACAATGGTTTGTTCTGTAGACTATAAAAAATATATAGATTAAAGAGGCTAATAATTTTAACCTTGAAGTGGTCTTTAAAATAATAAAAACTGCTTTTATTCTAGCCGAAATAAAAAACAAATAAGACTTTCTCCAGAAGAAAAAAAAATGTATTAGACATACTGTAAAAAATTTCCTTGCTTTGTTAATCATCATTTGCAAAATATTTAAAAAAGAATATAAAAATCAAAGGGGGGTTAAAAATTCTGACTTCAACTGTGTCATAATTATATGATAACATAATTCTGAATAAATCTGATTAAATTAAGTCATAATTATGATTATAAATGTGTAAGTAATGACACATTAAGGCATAATTTTGAAAGTTAAAGTCTATTATTTCCATATTTTTCTTGTTTTTTATTCTTCCCAAAAGCACCTCCTAATGATAACTTTAAGCAGTTCAATGATAAGTGGAGCAAAAACAAACAAACATATATATATATGAATATAGCACTATTTTTAATGTTAAATTATAATCTTTTAAACTATGGCTCTTACCCATTTTCATTTGTCATTTAATGTAAATAAACGTAAAATAAATTGAATGGTAATTTAGACTTTATCCTATGAGTACTCCTCAATATAGCATCATTTAAAATTAACTCTTTATAAATACTTATTCCTACAATGTCCTTTAATTTCTCAATATTTTAGGGTGTGCAATTAAAACAAACCTCTCTTAGAATTATATTCCTAAGTCTATAGTGTATATGAAGTAAATCTGTTGTTTCTCTCAGATGCGAAAGACTAAGCGTCTTCTGTCTGTCCACCCCATGGATTTGGAAATAGACGACTATGCCGTTCACTCTCGCAGACAGTCTGTCCAGGTATGAGAAGGTTCATTTTTATTGTCAGTAGTCACAATTTAAACGAAGAGTCAGGAATTCTAAAAAAATCTGTTTTCTCCAGTACATCCATGATGATAGAGGTCAGCGGAATGATCTAGAATACAACTCTGAAATCTACCATCAGCATCAGCAACGCATGAACCGCAGGAAAAGTCTCGACAGGTTCTCACGCCCAGGTAAAGAAGCAAATACATTTTCTCTATACACATTTTTTTCTTTCTTTCTCAAAAAAAAATCTTATCAAATTAATTTTATATTTACAAAGGATACATTTATTATGAGAGCGAAGTAAAAAAAAAAAGAATGGAAAGCACATGTACACTTAGCAATTTGTGAAAAATGTCATTTGTAAACGAACAACATGTATTTGTAATGTGAAGGGGACGCTGATAAAGGAATGCGGATCCAAACGCAAGTTTATTAACAGGATGGTCAGGCAAGCAACAATCAGCACAGGGGAAAACAGATGAATAGAGTTGTATCATAGTACCATAGTAGTGGTCAAAACACAGGTGAATAGTCAGTACAGGCAGAGAGTAGGCAACTTAAACAAACAGAACAACAAAGCAAAGGTCTAAGACTGAAAAGCAAGGCAAGGAAATCACGTCATAATGTTCACAAACAGTACAACAAGACTCAGCACAGACTGTGTTGTGTGTGTGTGTGTGTGTGTGTGTGTGTGTGTGCATGCACTCTGTATTTAAAGTCAATTTAATCAGTTTTTGAGCAGCTCCCAGCTGTTTGAGTGTAATCATTTGTGAATTGAAACAGGTGTGTGTTGGGTGCATGACAGGAACATGTAGTCCATATATCAGCATATTTGTAGTCCTTCATCAATCTGCCAGGATTAGATCGCTGGTGATTGTGACAGTATTTCTTTGATGAGAGGTGGTGTGTGAAAAATGATTTTGCTGTGAGAAGAAAATTTGGAGAATTATGTTTTAAGTGGTTATGTGTAAACCTCATAATTTGTCAAAGCATGCTCATGAAATGGTTGACCAGGCTTTGACTGTTTTAAATAATGACTGTTAAAATAATTTACAGAATGACTGTTTTAACTAATGGTTTACACACAAAGCAATATTGGTTTACGAAAAATCAAACAAACATAATATTGTTGCACAACACTTGATTTTAGCTTTATTGTGAAAACAACAACAACAACAACAACAAAATATGTTGAATGAGAATCTGAAATATTTTATGGCATACTTCAAAAAATAAAGATAATTTATAATTCTGTTTTATTTAATAAATTGGTCTTACACTTCATATTTGATATATATATTAAAAGATTTTTATTATTATTTTTTTTTACCAATTGCAATTTAAAAAGGCTAACTAGGTTAATCAGGTTAACTAGGCAAGTTAGGTTAATTTGTCAAGTCATTGGACAACAGTGGTTTGTTCTGTAGCCAATCAAAAAAACAAAATTCTTAAGAGGGCTAATAATATTGATGTATATTATACAGGTATATATAATTCCAGACAAACAAAAAGAAATAAGACATTCTCCAGAAGAAAATATATTAGGAAATACGGTGAAAAATGTCAGTTGAGTTCGTCAACTGTATATTTTAATTTAAAATTAGAGAACTATAATAACTTGGAAGTGGTTTCTTCATTTTTTATTTATTTTTTTTATTATTTATGATTCCAGGATTATTAACTTCAGGTTTTATTTAAACAGTCAAGAGAGATCTTGATTTTAGTATTAAGATAAACTCATTTGTCACCTTCTTGATTATTGCAGATGATGGCCTATACTCTGAGAACAGAATGGTACGTGCTCGTTCTCTCTCTAAAATCAATTCCTCAATGGCTCCGCGTCAGATCTACCTGGACACTTCAGAGGAAGAGGATATGTACCGCTATCCTGTTTACCAGCTTCCTCCTCGGCGCCGCAGTCGAACTTCATCTCAGGAGAACATTCAGCAGGGAGCACCACCGGTATGATCATCACTGATTAAGGCGCTTTATCAGCATGATGTGAAATATATTAAAAAGGAAATAAGATATGTTGAAGAAAGCTGAAAACCTCTAATTATTGACTTCCATGGTAGGAAAAACAAATGATTACATGTTTCTATCTTTGTTCAAAATCTCTTCTTTAGTCAGTGCAATAGCCTAGTGGTTAGCATGCCAACATATGGTGCAGTACCATGTCATGACATTTAAAAAAATGTCTTCTTTAGTGTTTAACAAAAGAAAGTTAAAAAGTTTTAAAACAAGTGAAGGGTGAGAAAATTATGACAGAATTTTAATATTTGGGTGAACTTTAAAAAGTTAGTTCACTCAAAAATTAAAATGTCTTCCCCTTTTACTCACACTCTAGTGGTTCTAAACTTTGATGAATTTCTTTCTTTTGTTGAGCACAAAACAAGATATCCTAAAGAATGTTGGAAAAAAGCAGCTATAGACATCCATAATAGGAACAAAACAAAAATAAATACTAAGGATTTATTTATGGATTTATCTATGGATTAAATCTATGGATTTATTTACTATGGGTCAGTAGCTGGGTTTTCCCTAACATTCTTTAGTGTCAAGAAAGTCAAACGGGTTTGGAACAAGTAAAGGGAGAGTAAATGATAGTGATGGGAAGTTCGGATTATTTTACTGACTCTGATCTTTGAGTCGAACGAAACTTTTTTTTGAGTCATTTCATTCATTTGGTTCAATTTGCCAAAATATTATTAAAATGTTATGAATTGCTTCCAAACACATCTACAACTAGCCCAAAAGATTGATTGCACGACAAATAAGTCATAAATAGAATACTATAAGAAGGAGAAAATAATAATTCAATGTTTACCTGCTCTTTTGTCTTTGAAGGCATGTTGTCTCTTTGCTCAGCTCATCTTCATGTCTTCAAATGTCAGGGGTTCATTCCCGTTACACTGACAGTCACATATAATCTTAATCAATGCACAGTCTAAGCCGATAGGAGCCATAATTGTTCGTTCATCACGTGACAGAATAACTCAAACCCGAGGACTCGAGAGATAAACGGTTCAATTTTTTTTCGGCTCTAAATGCATATGATTGGCTCGTGATGAACGAGTGACTCAGACCCGATAGAGGACTCGAGAAGTGAGCGGATCAATTCTTTTTCTGGCTCTAAACGCGTATGATTGGCCCGTGAGGAACGAGTGACTCAGACCTGATAGAGGACTCGAGAGAAACGGATCAAAACTTTTTCCAGCTCTAAACGCATATGATTGGCCCGTGAGGAACGAGTGACTCAAACCCGATAGAGGGCTCGAGAGGTGAGCAGATCAATTCTTTATCCGGCTCTAAATGCATATGATTGGCTTCTGCCAATGTGATGAAGACTTGAAATTAACGATACTACCTGCACAAATGTGCGCATGCACGGAAGAACGTATCACTCCCTGAGAGGACTCGTAGTTCCCGAGTCATATTGAAGATTCGTTTAAAATGAACGAATCGTTCATGAACGACCCATCACTAGTAAATGATGACTGAATTAATTTTTGGGTGAACTAACCCTTTAAAACAATATTATTTTATTTTATCTAAAATTTTTCACTATCATCCTTATGGAATAGCAAAATGTTCGGCCACCCATGTAGATGTAGAAAGGTAAATGAAGGAAGTGTTCAACAATAGGGAGGTCCTTTGTCCTTTGACCATCTCATGGATGTTGTTGAATATGGAGGATGAGGGAGCTCTCTGATTTCCTCTAAAATATCTTCATTTGTGTTCCAGAAATGAACTTGGATTAAAATGATATGGAGAAATTAATAACAGAATAAAATTTTTTTGAGGGGGACTAACTTTTTTCTTTGACCTGTTACTGTGAGGTAGATCAATGAACTGAGCAAGAGAATGTCTGCCATCGAGAGTCTATTGAATCGATTGGAAGAGAAAATTACTGTGCCTTCTGATCAGGTATATATAAAGTCTCAAAATAGAAAGCCACACTTCTTATTGTTCCAAATGTTGTAGGTTCTTCACATACTTTTTTCTCTATGTTTTTAGCCTGCCCAGCCCCCAGCAGGGCACATGGAGGAGGAGAAGCTGAGGAGAAAACTAGATGAGCTGATGAGTGACAAAGGACTTTCTTCTGACGAGGAAGACCCGAAGCGAGCTCCTCAGTATAAACGCTCTACTGTGAGAGGGGACCAGACAGCAATGGTCCTTGCATCCCAAGAACCCCTGAGCTCCTCCAGTGACGAGATGCCCACTGAAGCACAAAAGGTGAGCACACAAACAACACGCACATCCACACAGACCGATTATTAGTTTTTTGCACAATTGATTGAACAATTCATGCAGATTCAGGTGCCTCATCAAGCTAGTGAAATATCATTTGTTCTTGAAAGTTACACATCTTTCCACGGGCTTTGCATAATATTGAAAACATTTTATAGAATGCCAGATAAAAGTCTTCATTTATGGACTTGTTCACTTCAAAATCAAATTTCACAATCATTTACTCACAATAATATCTTTCCAAATCCATAAGAATCTGTGCTTTGATAGGATTTTAGAGCCCTGGAGACATTTTGATGAGGAACGAAATAATGGCAAAAAACAAACAGTAAACCATTTATTTTATTTATTTATACCATATACTGTTAAAAAAACCTAATTTTACATAAAATATCCCTAATTTTTTTACAGTAATTTTTTTGCCATTTAAAATTATATGTAGAACTTAGTAAAATCAAAAAACAATCTCTCCAAATTCACAGTTTGACTTTCATTTTAGGTACTTTTTCATTAAAGACAAATTAAAGACATTTTTTTTATATAGGGAAATTACAGTATTATTTATACAGTATTTTTTCTGTTATTTTAAATTATATTTAAAAATCCGTAAAAATTACAAACAATATCTGTAAATTAACAGCTTGACTGTTATTTTATGTATTATATAAGTAATGACAATTACAGCAATTTGTCTGTTTTATACAATAAAATTGCCATAATATTTACACAGTGTTTTTTTTCCTGTTTTTTATAAAGTACATTTAAAATTACATAAAATGAAAGTAATAAATTGTAATTACTTGCTCTGTAAAAAAAAAAAAAAAATTGTAAAAAAAAAAGTCAAATGACTGGCAGCTACGGCTGCCAAACAAAAACCGTAAAATTATGGTAAAATTTCTTTGTGGAAATAAAGTGCAAAAAATAATAAATCTACAGATATTTTCATTAAAATGTTTACAGAAAAACACTGTTATTTTACAGACTTTTCCTGGATTATTACGATCAAATCCGTTGCAAACTCCACACTGAAAAGACAACTGACTCAGCCAAGGCTCAAACCAGCGAACGTGCTACCCACTGCACCACCGTGCAGCCCATATCAAAAATTTATAAATTAAAATTGTGGTTTGACGTAAACAAAAAAGAAAAAAAGATTGTTTTTTGGGAAATTAAAAAGTAGTCATTACATAGATTTAAAACTTGATAATGAAGGTATAGAAAAAGTATAAGCAATTAAGTTTCTTAGTGTTGTATTGGGTCATAAAATTAGTTGGAAACTGCAAATAAATAATGTGATATCAAATTGAGTAAAAATCCCGGACAATAAATAAATGTATGTATTATATAACACATTTATGTTGCCATAAATGTATTATTGTGTTGACATTTTGGGGAATACATATAAATCTAACTTATGATCCTTTTGTCTGATGCAGAAAAAAAGATATTACAGTGATAGAAAATGTGGGATATTTTGAGCATACAAATTCTTTATTTTCTAAATTAAAGATACTTATAGGTTCAATGATTTGGTTAAATTTAAAACAGCACACCTCATTTTTAAAGCTAGGAATAATTTCTTTCTTTTTTTTTGAAGAAAGACAAGGGGATATAATATAGTAGAACAACATTTTTGCAGGTTAAAAACACATACAACTTTATAAAAAAATTGTATGTCTGGTGTCAAGTTATGGAACAGTCTAGAACAGATTCTTAAACAATGTCAGTTGTTTCAAGTAATTTCAATGAATGGCTGCTTGCAATACTTTTGGGGTCTATGTTATAAAATGTAAATGTACAAATGGAATAGAACATATAATATGTTAATGATGTCAAAAGGGTCAAATATGTCTCATCTAAAAAGAAGAAATAAGTGAAGAAGAAATACAGTTTTTCACAGTCGTTTTTCACAGTCGCTATATTTGCACAACAGTTAATGCATTTCTTAAAACAATTAGTCATTTGTGCACATCCTAGTAGCAGTTTCTCATTCCTTCCAACAAATTGCAGATGCTTTTGGACATGCATCAATTGTTTTCTTACAACTCTCTGCTGTTTATAACATTATCATTTGCTTTTGTCATGTCAGTCAAAATTAACTAAACTTGTAAACGCTGAATAGTCATTCCATATAAAACTAATAGTCCTCATTTCATTACTTGAGTCATTACATACAAAAATGTTGAACTAGCTGTCAAAATCTTTCTAGCAAATTTTATAAAAAAAATTTAAATCTTTATTTTCCTGAAAATATCTTAAAAATTGAACAGTTTCATGAATGATTTACAGACCTATGTATGTTGTAGGTTCAGTTCCAATATGTTCTGCAATATTGTGTACAGTTGTGCACAGCTCTACCCAAAGGAAGTTTATTTTTTTGTAAATAAGGCTGTATTTATTCTTTTGCACAATGCTGTGAATAAATTAGAATTGCAAAGAGCAAATGCAGTAAAAATGTGAAACATACATATTCAGTGTCTTGTACTCAGATACCTCACTAAATGCAGTGATGTCTAACTGTACTGTAGTTTTCAAATGGCTGTGCTAAAAGTATATAGTGCTGTCTTGAGCATTTTCAGGAAGTGTCACCAAAATCTGACTTTTTTTTTCATTGGAAAAATTGTACAGAGTAAACTGACATAATGAAAAGATGAAGAAGCCATTTGACTATCTTGTGAATAAACAATAGTGTCAGGACTTTTCATTTTGATGATACTGACACTTTGATTGACATGAATACTTGGTTTTGAGGAATGAACTATCCATTTTGAGCATGTGACACGCTTTTGCAGGTTATCAGCTAGGTTTTGCAGTTTGTACTAATTGTTTTGAGAAATGCATTAACTGTTGTGCAGAAATGCACTGGTGTGAGAAATGCACCAAAGCGACTGAGAAAAACTGTAAGTTAAAGTGATAGATGAAGGATATGTACCACATGGGGTGGGAAAATAATAAGCTTGTGCTACATTTCGCTCCAATTCGACCATGTTGAAATGCATTTTTAAAACTGTAAGAGCGTATTTATTATTTTGCACAATGCTTTGAATAAATTGGAATTGTAAAGAGCAAATACAGTAAAAATGTGACACACATTCAGTGTCTTGTACTAAGATATCTCACTTAATGTCTAACTTTACTGTAGTTTTCAAATGACTGTGCAAATAGTATATACTGCTGTCTTGAGCATGACAAAGCCATTTGACTATCTTGTTCATAAATAATGGTGTCAGGACTTTTCATCTTGATGACACTGACACTTTCATTGACATCAATACTTGCTTTTGAGGAATGAGCGGTCCATTTTGAGCAAGTAGCAACTTTTGCAGGTTATCAACTAGGTTTTGCAGTTTGTACAAATTGTTTTAAGAAATGCATTAACTGTTAGGCAAATGTAAATAGTGTTGTGAGAAATGCACCAAAGCCACTGAGAAAAACTGTAACATGTACCTTTAAGGACCGGCGAGGAAAAAAGTACCCCAGTGACAGATTTTGTACCTTTATTTCTGAGAGTATACAGTAGTAAAGTTTTAGCTACCTTGAACTTTTCAGGCATTATGGGTGTGCGACAACATGAGCTAAATGAGTAAATGATGACAGATTTTTCAGTTTTGGTTAGACTACAACTAGGGAATTTATTAGCATAGCCAAAGAAACATCTGAAAGACTTCCCGCAAATTATTTTCTAAAGACCATGAGGCAGGCATCAGCAATACTTCAGCCTCATTTAGCTGCAACCTAAGCAATGCTAATACCTCACTTAGGTCATTTTAGGGTTTTACTGCTGATGAGGCTTCTCTCCTCTCGGTTAATTGCTGTTCCCTTTACATGGCTTTCAGAGATCCACTGCAGCGGCCCTATGCGACATCACAACTGAGATTCTAAGAACAATTAATGCCACTGAAAGCGCTATGAACGAGTTGACCCCCTCAAATCCTAATGACAGACTTCAGTTAGCGGGCACAGATGTTAAGCAGGCTGATGATGCGTACAGGGAACTTGAGGAAAATGTAAGCTTATCCCTCTAACAGATACTGTTATGTTTGTTTGAAGCAGAGAGTTTAGACATCTGGAAGTGATCAAGTGGTTTTACTGTATATCACTATACATGATACTATCACTATATACGTTTATAAACAATTTGTTCAGAACTTTTCTTCTTTCGTTTTGCTGCAGGTGTACATGACTGCAGGGAAGTCCTATGAAGTGGCAAAAAAGTTGCAAAAGATTGAGCACAATGCCAAGAATCACTATGGTGGCCCATTAACTGATTCAGAACTCTCTGAACTAGAGGACCAGGTTGCTCTGGCTGTTGCCAAAGTTCAGGGCACGGAAAGTGAAGTAAGCATCAATTTGAAAACCTTTTTGTCTAGAAATGATGTGGCTTTATATCAATGCATGCATCTTCCTCTCTGTCTGCCTGTTTGTGCAGCTATTTGTTTTGTCTGCCATCTTGTCCACCCGTCTTTATGCCAGTCTGTCAAAGTCCCTTTAAGGAATAGGTCTCAAACTCAATTTCTGGAGAGCCACAGCTCTGCACAGTTTTGCTCCAACCATAATCAAACACAGCTGATCTCAATAAAAAGGGTGTTCAGGAATATTAGAGACTATTAAGGAGGTGTGAGTTGGAGGTGGTTGGTGCTAATCTGTGCAGAGCTGCGGCCCTCCAGGAACTGAGTTTGAGACCACTGATTTAAGGCAAGTCATTTCACTCTGCGACCATCTTTTAAACGCCTCTCGGGCAGTATGCTTGAACATCAAATTCTCCAATATTGTTTGCCAAGCTTATGATTGAATTTCATATTAGGAATCACCATAAAAATTAAACAACAACTTTCTCTTTAGTTTCATTTCTTAATGTTCAAATCAAACAGAATCTGTAGAATATCAAGTCTGGTCTGAGCCCCTTCCACGGAAAACCCTTAGTCTATAATGATCAATGATTGGCATCTGCATTAGAAGGCGGGGCTTCATTCACCATATTAACCATTACACGTTTTTCCCATTCAAAACTATATGAGTGTCATGTCTTGTGTATTCTATAGTCTTTGAGTAAGTCTATCTCTTTCTGTTTGCCATCCTGTCCATTTGTCTATCTGTAAATAGTTTATTAAAAATGTAGCGTTTAGTTTCTGTTACAAGTACATTGCATTTAAATTAAGAGATTATATATAGCATGAATATATGTTTCTGATTAAAAATGTGCTGAATAATAACACCAGCTTATTTCAAATCAGCATTACCTACATTTATTTTATTACTAAGCATACTTGCAGCATAACACTGTACTATTAGTTAACTAAGTCTACATTTAGAAAAGTTACAAATACTGTATATTGTTAAACAATTAAAGTATACACTATACACTAAACCACTGTAACTACCAGTGGTTTTGTTAAAGCATCCTCACTTGTGAGCTAGTGTTTAAAGAGTCAGAATTATGATTCAAAGGTTACATGTTCGAGACACCACCCCCAGTTTGTGTGTGTGTGTGTGTGTGTGTGTGTGTGTGTGTGTGTGTGTGTGTGTGTGTGTGTGTGTGTGTGTTTGTGGTTTTATTGATTAAATGCAATGCCCAAATCCTGAGCATGGAATAAAGTTTATGTAAAAATTATTTTCCCACAAGTATTACCAAAGTATACTAGAACTATAGGCCTACTCATGAGTTCACTTGCAGTACAAATGAAAAACTTCCTTGTGGACTTGTTAAGGACCCAAAGTGTACTGATTTTATACTTATAGTACACTTAAAACTATACTTATACTGTATTGACCTTATTCTTCAATGTAGAAGGGTGCTAATTTTTGCAACTGTTTTGGGACTTCCGAATCAGTTGCGTATAGGAGAAATGACTAGAATAATAAATGACTGAAAACGGTCAAACTGCTTGCTCAACAAGCAAGTGTGTTCCTGACTATAGATAAAAAGAAAAATAATGTAATAAGTTTGCAATATCAAGTACCATAACAAGCCATTTTTACCATTTAAAAGTCAATGGAAGTGAATGAGACTTTAGGTCTCGTGCCAAAAAGATTTCAGTTTATATGTGAATAATAAGGTAAATATACAGTTCAAATTACAAGTTTACATACACTCTAAAAAAGGAACATAACAATAATTTTACATTTGCTAAATTTAGCATATTTTTATTTTAAATTAAAATTTAGCAAATTGTAATAATTTTATGTTGATTCTGGTTTGTTAATTTTCCCATGTTGTCACAAAAGGAAGCAGTGTGTTTGAGGTTTTTCTTAAATACTATTCTACAGTTGTGCCTTCAATTAACTCAAATGTTGTCAATTATACATATATATATTATTTATATATTATTATATTAAAAGCTGTGCTTAATTTGTTCATGAATAATTACCACAACAAAACCTAGAAATAAAACGTTATTGTGACCGACGTCCAGCAAACAATTTAAGTTTTCCCGGATCATAACGTCATTAAACGGTCATAATGCAAAAAAGAACTTCGCATTTCTTAACGGTCTTTAATTATTTTTTGCCATATGACGTTATAGGTTAGCCAGGATAATAATCCTGTAAAAAAGGATAATAAAGTGAAAAAAAATAATGAAATGATTCACTCAGTCGAATCAAGAAGGGCCCACATTTATCTCTTCTGTCATGCTTTCTGGCTGACTTTGCTTCTGTCTCCCGCTATCCTGATCTATTCGCACAGTTTCATCTTCCCAAGATCTTAGGCTCATTATCAGATTTGCTTGTGGTTTTAAAAAATTAAAATATGCTTGACTGCCTCTTTGCCATTTTGAAAATTACAAAGATTATTTAGGCAGGCCACTATGCCAATATTTATCTTCGCTGCACACTTCGCTGGAAACAATCACCAACCAATGAGAGTGATTGTAAACATAAGCAATCCGATTGGATAGTTAAATAGTTAAACGTGACTTTAGCTTTAATTGGCATATGGTGTCTACCATCATGCATGTGCGCACACACAATCCACAGAACCTTTGCTTGCACTCATTCTCTCTCTCTGTCTCACACACACACATAGGTATTCACCATGCACAAGTTAATGCCGGATCCAAAATAAATACCGGAACGCAAAACATGAATATCTGACAGCAAGATCTGGCTCAGATTAAGCACTGATTACATGTATACTACTAATACATATAGAGGTTAATGCATGAAGTATACTTAAAATATACTTCGACATTACTTAAGTGTACTTAATAAAGTTAACTTGAAGTACACAGTAATTTTTTTACATAAGGGTGTTCATCTATCTGTCTGTCTGTCTGACTATCCCTCTGCGGTGGGTGGGATTTGAAAATAATAGTTTGTATAACAGTCATGTAGATCAGTGGTTCTCAAAGTGGGGGTCGGTACCCCCCGAGGGGTCTCGGGGCAATGAAGGGGGGTTGCCTGGTGATTTCCAAAAATCTATTTATTTTTATTAAACCATATGAATTAACTTATTTTATCCATAACTATATTTAAAATAAAAATTGTAGTTTATAGTTACTATATACTATATAGTTACTATAGTAACTTATAGTTACTAGTTCTATTGGATTGCGACCCCTGGGGTAATTACATTATATTAAAGGCAGCAATAGCGTCAGATGCATTTTGATTTTATAACATCAGGTTATACTTTCTGGCACATTTAAAGCACTGACACAAATTTAATTGGTGTGTCTGCGTCATTGCATGCAAAGTTTCTGTATTTATAACCACCTCAGAGGATATTGGGGGTCGCGAGTCACTGGCATTGTTATTTTGGGGGTCGCGGGCTGAAAAGTTTGGGAACCCCTGATGTAGATGAACATAACCCTAACTGTAAGCCCAAACCTAACATGAACTTTAAACATATCCCTTAGCTCTGATTGGCTGATTGGAATGTTGTTCCAGTATCAACATAGATGCTGATCTAGGAACATGTCCTAATTGGTAAAATCACACTAACCATTTATCTGCAGTGGTGTATAATCTGTACTCGTGTACTTGAGTAAAAGATCTGTCTGTTTGTCTGTCTCTCCATTTATTTATCTTCTGTCTTTTATTCATTTATCAGGTCTCGGATATTGAGAGCAAGTTAGCTGCTCTAAGTGCTAAAGGATTATCAATTGATAAAGCTAAGAAAAAGGTGAACCGTTCAAATAATTAGTTAAAAAAAAATTACATTTAAATCTCTGCTTTCTTCCAGATTTGCAACTCACTATATTTTTGTGAACATTTACTTTCAGGCAGTGAGTATGCAACAAAAAAGGAAGTTTCCCCAAGATTTTTCATCAAGCAGAGTGCACTTTTAAGTGTAAAGAGGACATCACTTCTCTGTTGCTGTTACTTCTGTGATTATCCCTTTAGACCTTCGTCAGTCTATCCACACCTGCCACCTACAGTACATTCATCCATTTTGTCAGCCAAAGGATGTATTGCAAATTATCAATCATCACAAGTCCTGATAACTATGTATAACTGGCTTACATATGCTGTGCATTTTTGGGATTGTAAAACTCTTTGTGTTTGAGCTAATAATATCAGCCAACCCATTTAAAACTATTAGGAGACATGACCAACAGTTTTTTTTGCAAAGAAAAAAAATAAGATTAATTTCCATTATTCTCCATTACATTTCCTTGCCATCTTTGTTTATCAGATTGCCCTATCAGCTTTGACATTTTAATAATAAATGTACTGCAAATAATTATCCTTTTTTCCCTCTGAAAACACTATCACATTATAAATGTTTTGAAATGTGAAAATTCGTACCCCCGGAGAAGACCATCTTTAAACAAGTACTTTACTTTTTTCCCCCTAATATTTGGCTTTTCTTTTTCTGAACTTAACAGATGTTTCTAATACAAATCATGCTAACCAAAGACATCTATTGTGCAAGGAATGCTATCAATTAGCATGAGTACTTTTGAAAGGGCTAATTTTTACTCATACTTTGAGTAATATTTACAACAGATACTTTTACTCTACTCACACTACATTTTTAGGCAAGTAATGGTACTTTTACTTAAGTATGCTTTTTCAGTACTCTTTCCACCATTGGTGAAATGTAAATCACAAAATAGGAAAATGTTAACAGATATTTTTTTTACAGCGTAGCTATAGTAATTTACTCTAGTATTAACATACGGTAACGATAAATAATACAACTTTTTACTTATTATTTATATTAAATTTTAATTTTATCCATTACATGAAAAAATATTCTGCATTATGATTATTAAACTATAGATAGGATGTTAAGCTGGCTTAAAGAACACTTACAGTTGTTTGTACAGAATAAAAACTAGTTTATTGTATACTTCAGCAAATAATATTATATACTAAATAAATGTTTTAATTATTGAACTAGTAACCTGTTTACCTATACGTTCACTTGTAGTATAATTGCAGTACAGTAAGTGAAAAATGCAGTAAAATAATTGCACATATACTGCTTTAAAGGTATACTTTTTTATAACTTAGAATATACTGTAGAAATATATACACACAGTACATGCAGAAATACATATTTTATAAGTTATATTAGTTTTAACCTTTAAAATAGTATATATGTGCAATTATTTTACTGCATTTTTAAAATTGGTTGTTGTGCCAAGCACTGAAATTGTATCTTTTCTTAAGGTAAAATATATATCCTTAGTTCTGCAAGAAAACATTTGCACCCACTTTGAGTTTTAGTATTTCTCAGTCGCATAACAGAGGCCAAGGACATACCAGGGATATATCAAATGTACAATAAGGGTACAATAGGCCATGTTGTCATGTTGGCTTTACAGCTGTTTTGAGAAATACACACGTCTTAACAATTATTGATGATTTGAGAAATGCATCAAGTGACTTGGAAAAAAAACTGTAGAGCATTTTGGTGCACTCTAATGGACATAAACGGATAATAAACAAATAAATAAACAAACAAACAAACAAATAAATAAATAAACTAATTAATTATATATATATATATATATATATATATATATATATATATATATATATATATATATATATATATATACTATATATATATATATATACTATATACTATATTATAGTACATTAAGCTGTTATTGTTATCCGTATATATATATATATATATATATATATATATATATATATATATATATATATATATATATATATATATATATATATATATATATATATATATATACAATCCATATATATAATCAGCAGAAACAAGATTAATGTACTATAATATAGTATAATATAATATAATATAATAATTATTAATTTTAATAATAAAGATAGCAGCTTAATATCAAAAGTATTATTGCTAAACTAATTTTATTTTTGCAATTTTTTTTCTATTAAAGAGGGTTTTTTTAAACGAAAGTGATCACAAAAAGAGATGTAGTTGTCTAATAAAGCCTCTTGATGGAGCTAATGCACCAGTTCAGAGCACCATTTACCTAATAAAACAAGCTGTACATAGACAGCCAGCCAAATAGATAGATAGTTAGAAAAAAAACAAAAAAAAAAGATAGATAGATAGATAGATAGATAGATAGATAGATAGATAGATAGATAGATAGATAGATAGATAGATAGATAGATAGATAGATAGATAGATATTGTCAATTATTAAAAGTAGGCGTAAATAATAAAAATAAAAACGGGCCCCGCCCACAGACCCGCCCACTCTCATCGCAGCGTCCAGCAGCACAGGCTGAAATCAGAGCGTGTCACTGGGCTGCTGCTGGATCTCAGGGCCGCTCACCATCCGGGTTCGCTTTGCCCTAGAAACAAACGCCGCTCTGGACTGACGACTTTTATTCTTCATTCCTCTGGTTTGACGTTACATCGAACTGTTGGACGGGATATTAAGGGATGACCGGTTCTATCCTCAGGAGTGCCTGCAGTCTATCGTGCTCACGTCGCATCAGCAAACTGTCATTTCCCATCCCATCAGTGATGTTTTGACAGATCGATGTGTCGTTTGAATGTGCAACAGGCTCCCGCCATATATTTATGCGGATTATGGAGACGACGGGGCATCAAAGGAAAGATGTGTCCTAGTGCTCTACATCTTTTAGCTAGTGGTTACAGTATAACCATTTATTAATGCTGTTCCCTAACGACCATGCTACTTTGAAGGGTGATATTTTATCTGCACACAACTGAACATCACATCACTTCAGACATTTTTTGTAGAGGTTTGTGTAAGAAATAAGGGGATTTTAAATGGCATCTCAAGTAACGGGGAGGAAAAGAATCCCCAACCGGGAGAAACTATCGGCGGAGGATGATGCTCTCATTCAAATAGCACGAGAGGTAAGATGAATATTAATATTTCCCGTGTCAGCTCTGTCATGCTGCGCAAAATGTCTCCCTTTCACAAGTATACTGGAGTTCTTTAAACGCAAGTCTAGAAGCCCTTACTGAATAAAGAAAGGTTTTATTGACGGCAGTACTGTGTCCAGATTGCAGTATGGAAAAACGAGCACGGATACGATGACGCACGTGTCCTTTAATAATGTGAATGGGAAACATTTCGCTCCCTCCTCCTCTCTCAATTATTAGGCGCTTGTGAATGACAAAAACACATTATTCGTCGCAGTCTAAATAAGGCCATTGTTGCTTGCATGACCTACATGACTGAAAATCCTCTGTAAATGGGTTAATTATGCCGCAAGCATCTCTATAAAAAGAGCGTTAGTGCTAGAGCTACAGCATCTCGGTTTTTGGATACCTGCGCAGCTGCGTGACGTCATGAAGCGAAGATTAATCGGGAAAGCGAAGGAGCTCCCAGACTGCTGACGTCAGAAGCTGCTATGATGCGGCACATCACACCCAGCAAATGGCCCAAATACCCTTTGAGACGTATTTTAAAATACACAGAGCTCAAATTGTGCTGATCACTTAAATATTCCACTACACGTGGAGTCCTGAATAGGTTTTCAGCTTTTAATCCAAAGCAGACATATAGGTTTGTTTTTAAAACGTGTGCCGTGAATGCAGAAAGTAGCATAAATAGTGCAGGGTTTTAGTCATGCTTGTTATTTTTACTACTCGTCTATAACTGAACCTTGGTGTTATTGTTATTGGATATCATAGTTGTTAATGTCATATATATCAAAAGATGTTCCATGTTAAATGTCAGATGTTTGTGTTTACTGCCAGTTAGTCCTTTACACAAATATTCCGGTTTTCAGGTTCACCTAAATACGTCTGTCGACCTTTTGGGTCAACTGACCACATCTGGAAAGCATTATCTCACTGAAGAATTCACACACACACACACACACACACACACACACACACACACACACACACACACACACACACACACACACGCACACACAGGCACACACAAGCACACACATTCACACATGCACACAATTTTGAAAATGAAGGTTCTTCAGTGGCATCAATGCCAATAGATTCCACAAACAAACGTTAACATCCATGAAACCTTGCCATTGTACGAAAGGTATGTTGTTATCAAGACCACTTCAACTGAGACCAGACCTACAGTATAGACAAAACAAGACTTATTCCAGTGTGTGTTAAAAATGAAAGAAAGTTTTCTCAAGAAAAATAATTTAGGTGTTGAGACCAAGACCAAAACTAGGTAGAGCAACACTGAATCAAGAGCCAAGACCATTATAATAATAGAAATTAATTAATAATACTATTACACATCTGTAAAACTGAAATGTTCTGAATACCAGGAGTTGGAAAAAATATATACAATAATCAACAAGTTGAATGCAACATGTGAAATGGAGCAAAACCTTCTTTAAAGTTATTCATTCATTCATTCATTTTCTTTTCGTGTATTCCCTTTATTTATCAGGGGTTGCCACAGCGGAATGAACCGCCAACTTATCCAGCATGTGTTTTACACAGCGGATGTTCTTTAGCTTATTCAATTCACCTATAGCGCATGTCTTTGGACTGTGGGAGAAACCGGAGCACCCCGAGGAAACCCATACCAACACGGGGAGAATATGCAAACTCCACACAGAAATGCCAACTGACTCAGCCGGGGCTCGAACCAGCAGCCTTCCTGCTGTGAGGCAACAGTGCTACACACTGCACCACCGTGATGCCAGTTTTGATCATTTACCTATTCAATTTTTCTTGACTATTCTGTAGCTTTGTGTAGACCAAGGGAAAGCGAAAAGTTGCTATATTCTAGGCTGACATGGATAGGAACTCTTCTCTCATTCTGAAATATAGGCCCTGATAAATTTGTTGAATAGCTGGTGCCTTTCATAGGCAAACTTTTTTTAATACAGGACTGAAATGTATCACGGATATTTACAGTAGGGGTGGCGCAGTAGGTAGTGCTGTCGCCTCACAGCAAGAAGGTCGCTGGTTCGAGCCTTGGCTGGGTCAGTTGGCGTTTCTGTGTGGAATTTGCATGTATGTTCTCCCTGTGTTCGCGTGGGTTTCCTCCGGGTGCTCCAGTTTCCCCCACAGTCCAAAGACATGCGGTACCGTACAGGTGAATTGGGTTGGCTAAATTGTCTGAAGTGTATGAGTGTATGAGTGTGAATGAGTGTGTGTGGATGTTTCCCAGAGATGGCATCCGCTGCATAAAAAATGCTGGATAAGTTGGCGGTTCATTCTGCTTTGGCGACCCCAGATAGGGACAAAGCTGAAAAGAGAATGAGTGAATGAATAATTTCAGTAGCTTAGAAAATTAAATCCAGCATAGAA